CCAATCTCCGACGGCTATCCATGGTCTTCAACGCTTTTCTTATTGCAAGCTGAAGTGACACCAGGCTTTTGAATGAGTGATGTTGTGCTCTTCCGATATCTGGCCGGGCTGCCCTAGAAGGCATTTTCGCTGTTCTCATGGTCAAACTGCGTTTGCTAAGATCTCGTTGTCATAGTTTTTCTACACCAACTGAGATGTAGGGACACACTCTCAAAGCATAGCTTGGCCGCTGTCTAAGCAAGTGTTCGTGTAGGAGTAACAATCTTCCACCGGACCTCTCCAGCAAGAACTTATGACAATGCGGTCCGTTTGTGTCGAGTGAAAAGTTGAATGCGATGAACACCACGTTGGACAATATCTCTCTTTACGTCCGAATATTTTGCCGATCAGGAACAAATGGCTACTTGGTCACACTTGTAGCGGGCTAGCGCAGCTATCCGTTTGTCAAGGTGGGATTCTGGCAGTGACACTTGAGCGTCCTTCTGTCCGATTTAACCTACCCTTTTATGCACTGGAATCAGCTGCAACGATGACCACGTCAGACTGTTTGAAATGCAATAGCAAGCAGGACAGTTTTCGGAAGAACCCGTCTTTCACTTCTTTTGAACTTCACTCGGTGGGGACGTAGGTGGAGATTACAAACAGACAACCGTGCGTTGCAATATTTACTCTGTCGTCACTATGCAGTTGAGTAGAACAGCATATAGGCGGCTATCAGCATAGGATACAATCTATCAGTGCAGTTCCTACCTTGGGACCTAATGCTATAAATATACCTGCAGGACAAAAAGAACTAGCCATCACTCCTCCAGAAACACAAAAGCATTTTGTATATTCAAAAGACTAACCATGTGAACTTAAGAGAATGGCCGTGCTACGGTCCGATAGGCATGTCTCACAATCACACCAAATATCCATGGCCTAGTAGAAGAGACTTTTTGCTACCAAAGCTAGCCAGCGGAGCTCATCAAGGATTGGAACGCTGCAAACTCTAAAGTGTAGAATGGACTGCAGTTTTATTAGATAGTTATCAAGAAAACAGAAAGAGAAGAAACAAAATGTTAGGGTATTCATTACAGGAAACGAAGGTAGAACAACAGACAGGGAAGTGGGAGGCGACAGTAGCAACAAGGACAATAAGTAAAGAGAGTTTTCACGTATGCACAATAACCATTTAGTGTCAGGTAACAGGATGATTTGATCAAAATACGAAATCCAAAAATAGAAGTTCGGGGCAGATAAAAGCAAACGTGGTGTGGATGATGTGACTTGATGAGAACTTTTGGATAGATACACCGTAGAGATAAATAAGTGGAAACTTACGCTTTCTGATTGAATACATTTCTAAGCAATCAGGTGGTAAGATTTTAAAATTCCTGATCAATTATAAAACCAAGCGCAAGAAACAAAAATCGAGTTAAGACGGAGTTTAACAGTGATAATGATATTTGCTGTTACCTGGGTGGCTGGGGAAAAAATTATTACAATTGTGTCTGAGGTGAAGAACATGTAAGGGAAGGGAATGAACTAACACCTAACTATCTAGATTGTACCTTAAATATGCAGTGGTGATGATAATAATGGTTAACTCGGTTTCGAAGGTTTCAACGACCGAAACAAGTTAGCTTCTGGAAGTACAAATCATGTGAGGATCAAATTGCAACATTACGCATCATCATAGTACAGAGTATAGAATGGCAGTCAACTCTCTCTCTCTCTCTACCTCAACTTCATCGACTTTGAAAAGGCCTTCGACAGCATCGACCAAGAAGTAATTTGGCAGGAAACTGCTTCAACACTACGGTCTTAGTGCCCCAAACCTTTGTCAACCTCATTCAACAACTATAAGAGGATGCCACATGACAAGTAATTCACAGTGGGAAGCTCAGTGATACTTTTGAAGTGAAGACAGGCGTGAAACAAGGCTGCCTACTATCACGTGTGATAATCCTGAATGTGGTCGACTTGATCATGGAAAAAAACGGTGATGAGCGAGAAGAGGAGGATACGCTGGACCGCGTAGAAGAACCTCGAAGATTTAGATTTAACCGATGACTTGTGTCTGATGTCACACAAACTTGAAGACCTACAGTCGAAAACTAACGATTTGACAGAAGAGGTAGGGCAGGGCAGAGCAGGGCAGCGAAGACGGGACTTCAAGTGAAAGTAGAGAAGACAGACCAACAACAACAACTAACTTAAAGGAAGTAGCTTCTTTCACCTATCTATCTAGGCTACACTGTTTATACTACAGGCGGCACGGACAAGGACGTGAAAGCCAGCCAGCATCGGAAAGACAGCAAGACAGGCATTCATTAACCTGAAACCAGTGTGGAGACCTTCTACACTCAGTATAAGGCGTGAACAACATCCGGATTTTCAACACCAATATCAGTCAAGTCAGTGCTTCAGACGTCAAGCACTCGAGTGAAATCCCGATGAGAAGCGACGAGTTGTTTGTCTGAGGTGAGGGTGACATGGAGGAGATTGTGCGAGGAAGAAATGAGAACTTGTGGGCTGTCGTGTCTACAGGTTCAAAAGATTTCAGAGAAAAGAGTGGAATGGAGACATGGTACTGAAACCCTATGTTTCATTAGGGACCCAAGGGACTAATAGTGATAATTTGAGGGTTTCCCCTGAATGAACGCGATAGAGATCCAAGTAGATGCAAAAGACTTCCTTGGGTTCTGTTAACTAAAGTAAGTAGTTCTTTATTTTACTTCCTAAATAATTCGAATTTATGCGCATTTATTTGGGTTGACATGACAGCAAGCAACTCTTTATTACCACTTTTAAACAAAGGTTAACACGATATTCAAATTGTCTGAATACTAAATTATGCCAAGCCATCCTTTTTGTATGCATTTATATACTTAGCTTGCGTTGCACATTAAGCATAACGTATTATTGAATCACAGTTACAAGACAACCCAATACACTTATGAAATACCAATCGATTCTTTTATTGTATAAACAATCTATGAGAGACAACAGAATTCTATCATCCTTAGAGGCAAGTGTATCGTTAGAAAAGTGTCCTAATCCGTTAAAGAATTAAAAAGTTTCTCAAAGTTATACAAATTTAGTTCCCATGTAAAGTTTACCAGGGTAGAAGCCTATTTCCTTTTATATTTATTTGTCACACAAACCATGTACAACATAAAAATCCAAAAAGTGAGCTATACAAAATAAGAAGATAAAACTGTGATATAAAGTTAAGAAAAATTAGGGCAGAGACAAAAACAGGATTGTATTATCAGAAGGGATATAAATAAAAAGAGATAATCAATATTTTCGTGAAATAATCATCTTGTACAGTGTAACTGAAGAGCTGGTTGAGTGTTTTTCATTCCATATTTTTATGGCTACAATGCGAAATATCCTATCCAAATTATTTTTTTTCTTTCACCGATAAACATCAGAAAACCATTGTCTTGTCACTATTAAACAGTTTACTACTAACAAAGGTAAAGACCAGTGAAACACTAATCCCAGTATGTAAGTGACTGAACGTATTACTTACATCCTTACGTATACATCACAAAGTATTTTAAAAGCGTCACTGATCACAGCTACCTTATCAGATAACAAACAATAAAGGGAGGCAGTATGAGAGAATATTCTACTGATCAATACACTAGTTTCCATTTTGGTACACACTATCTTAATATTGGCGTATCTTAACACGTTTTCATTCTACTTACAAAAGCCTTAATGGAAGCTCTTCAATTGTGTTACCAGCTTTAAGTTCTGTTTTGATCTGCGGTATATATATAAAATATATAGTGTTGAGACGCGATACGATTAAAGATAGAACAATGACTTGTCAACACGAGACTCAGTTGACACCAGAAGAAGACAATAGGATTGAAGGTATATTTACTTCAGCATAATAGCGTTATCATAGCTGAATGTTCAGTTGTTTGTATACTTTATAAGGGCCTGACCAGGTAAGATAAAATAGTATATTAAAAGTGTAAAATGGATCAATCAATGTTTAATATCTTAAACTACGTAAAAAATAACTGCATAGGACAAAAAGGAGTGAAAACAAGGTTTTTATTTTACATCGAAAATATACACGTTTCTTGGGATCGAAAATCCCTAACAAGTTCATCAATTATGATACCAAGTTAATTGAAAATGCCATCCGCTACTGGAACATTAGAATCACTATTTTCAACCACCAACTTATTGCCTAACTGTTTCAGTCTTTGTTCTTCCACGGAGGTCATTCCTTAGAGTTTCAAGAGAATGATCTGCATCATGTAACCTTCGGTCAAACCATGGCATTTGAAAGTAAAGAAAAGTTAACTGTTTCTACTATCTGTAGAGTTACTTTCATAAATAAACATCATGCTTTAGGAACCAAAGCTTAGGAAATAGAATTGGTTTCCATTATGAGGTATTTAAAAATAAAGCATAAACAGAGGATAATTATCCAAAGATCTGTTTGCAACACGGAAGTTCTAACACAAACTGACACTAACCCGTATTGTATGGCTATAAGATTACAATAATTTTTTATTCTTTGAGGTATATAAATTTCAGTATTTTAAGAAGAATAACGTTATGTTTGCCGACTACATTCCATGGAATGAACCTTTTAGGCGCTCAGGCGTAAAACTGTTTATAGAAACCAAGACACTTTGACTAAGGTTACTACAGTGATGGTTCAATCCTGGAAATAGATCACTGAGTCAATGGTTGTTACATAAGTCTTGGATGAATTTCGTCAAACTGCAGTGTTATTAGTTATGGCTATTTCGGTAATTTAAAGTCTAGAATGACACAATTCTTGCTTATATAAGGAATGACACATGCTGAATGCAGCTTATGTCATCTGCATGATGATAGGTTAAGTTTCATAACTTAAGAAACATAAAGATAATCTTATCACATGAAAGAAATAATAATAATGGTTTTACTCCGAAAGATACACTGTATATGCATACATAGCATTAATACAACAAATAGAGTATGCGTAAAATGGAATATACCTTGGAAGGGATACGGTAGTAACACTCAAATCGACGACTTTAGATGATCCAGACAATTCATTAACGACAATTGAAGAGTCATTACACCCTGACTTCTCTGTAGCACATGGACTAAATGATTTATTCTTTAAAAATATAATAAAATTAGAGATTTTCATTGATAAAATTCAGTTTTTAACGAGAAAAAAAGAATAGGAAAGTGTATCATTATATTACTAAAAACTGAAGTATGAAGTTATAACATGATTGTTAACAAATTAGTCCAATAACTATTTAAAAGGCTTTATTCACCATGAACTGACATCATTCGGAGAACTAATGAAAACTTGAGAGCTTGGGATAGTCGTTTCATCCTAGTATGAGAGTCATCCGTGACCAAGTTAGGGGTGAAATTCAAGACCTCAGAGTTTGACAGATAACGCTGGGTCAGAGATCAACGATACACAGTTCTTTAAACCTATCGATTTGCGATACAGAGTGGCTCAATCTATCAAAGTTTTCAGTTGGTATCCATTTCATATCTGTGTAGTTCACCCTACTGGTTACGGCTCACAGACTTTCAATAGTTTTCCAAATGATATCACTCCATAACCAATGGAACCCTTATAATGAAAAATAAAAGTAACACCCGAAAACCCCAAACTTTATAGATATTTAAGGTTTGAACACCAAAAATATATATATATATATATATATATATATATAAATATATATATATTCTCTCATTCCCTTTTCTATTCTGAAAGATACAGCGTATATGTGTGTATATTACTATTACTATTATTTGTCCGTTCGGTTCCTAATGGAACATAAGGCTTCAGTAGCACGTCTCCATTCCACTCTGTTTTCCGAAATCTTCTCAACCTGCCTCCACGACTGCCCACAAGCTCTTATTTCTTCCTCACATGATTTCCTCCATGTCACCCTCGCTTCGGACACCCAACTCGTCGTTTCTCATCTGGGTTCCACTCGAGGGCGTGGTCTGACGCATGATGTCCCCAGTCGGTCTCCTCAGTGTATGCCCAATCCAATCCATCTCCACTTCCTTTCACTGCATATTCCTTCAGCGATAGGTTCTCGGTTGGTTCGTTCAGCAGCCAGCCAGCCAGCCAGCCAGCCAGCCAGCCAGCCAGCCAGCCCCCCCCCCCCCCCCCCCCCCCCCCGTCAGCCAGCCAGCCAGCCAGAGTTCCTTGTTGCTTATTCGCATTATTCTGACCATCTGATCTCCATCTTCAGTAACTAGCCAGCGTGGACAGTTGTTGATGAATGTCTGTAGTTTGTTGGAAATCCCTTTCGTGAGGCGCCAAGTCTCTCAACCATCACATAGAAGCACTGACTTGACTGGATTAGTGTTGAAAATTCGGATTTTGTTCACGGTTTATGATGAGTGTAGAAGATCTCCACACTGGTTTTAGGTTAATGAACGCCTGTTTTGCTTTTCCGATCCTCGTTTGTGTCACCTGTAGTTGGAACAATGCTGCCCAGATAGGTGAAAGAGACGACTTCCTTTAGGTTTCTCCCACTGATGGTGATTGGTGCTTGTTGTTCATGCTGTTGTTGGTTGGGTATCTTCATCACCTGTCTTCTCTACGTTGACTTGTAGTCCTGTCTTCGCTCCCTTGCCCTGCCCTGTCCTGCCTGTTCTGTCAACTTGTTAGTTTTCGCCTGTAGATCTTCAAGTTTGTGTGACATTAGACATAAGTCATCGACGAAATCAAAATCTCCTAGGATCTGTTCCCCGGTTCAGCTTATCTCTCTCTTCTCGCTCATCACCGTTTGTTGCATGATCAAGTCGACCACAGTGAGGAATATCATAGGTGATAGTACACAGTCTTGTTTCACATCCCCTGTCTTCACTTCAAAAGTATCACTGAGCTTCTCATTGTGAATTACTTGTCATGTGGTATCCTCTTATAGTTGTTGAATGAGGTTGATAAAGATTTGTGGTACTAAAACCGTAGTGTTGATGCAGCTTCCTGCCAAATTATTTCTTGGTCGACGCTGTCGAAGGCCTTTTCAAAGTCGATGAAGTTGAGGTAGAGGTAGAGGTAGAGTAGAGGTAGAGTAGAGAGAGAGAGAGAGAGAGAGAGAGAGAGAGAGTTGACTACCATTCCATACTCTGTTCTATGATGATGCGTAATGTTGCAATTTGATCCTCACATGATTTGTACTTCCTGAATCCAGCCAGACTGTTCCTGTCGTAGTTTTGAATCCAGAGCATCCTTTAGACTGTCCAGAGTGATGCGGCCTAATATTTTGCATGGGGTAGACAGCAGCATGATTCGGCGCCATTTCTTGCAAAGGCTTAGGTCTCCCTTTTTCGGGAGTTCGACAAGGTATCCCTTTTTCCAATCGCCAGGTACCTTTACATCCTTCCAGACCTTGTACATGTGTCTATGCATAGCAAAATGAAATAAGCATAAATTACATGAAGAAAAGATAAGAATATTCACTCCATCTACAACTTTCTTCAAAATGTACAGTCAATTCAGGTAGACAATCACACTACCAATTAGATTCATAATACATGAATAGTAACACGCTCATCTTCAATTAGTTTTGCTTTCAAAATAGAAGTTGACTAGTTAATTCTTTTTCAACACTTTCTTCATCATGCAAGAGACGCTCTAAATACGGTATTATAGAGTTTCTATATTTAGATGTGTACACATTATATCTTATTCACTTGCTCCAGGTTTTGCTGATAACCGACACGTAGAAAGCTTCAAGTGAAGAGGATATTGGTTATCTGATAAAATAATTCCTGCCAGGTGTTTACATGAGTTCATATGTCTGTTCACGACTGTTTTAACTAGAAGGTTCAGAGGTACACAACTAGTTCTGCTGACAATCTTCAAAGAGCTACGCAGCACAGCATTGGCTTTATTTAGCAACCCAGGAAAGAATGAAGAGGAACAGTAGAGGAGAACAGGCATGAAGTAGGGGTTTATAAAACATAAGAGGAGAGGCTGAGTAATACCAGATACTGTCAGCTTCCTGATGTAGAAAGTTAGGCGAAAAATGTTTTCGGAAATTAGTGAGATATGAGAAGACCGGGAAAGGTCCGAAGAGAAACATGAAGCAAGATAAATCACACTTGTAGCATTCTCTAATGTCCAACTATCGATAGAACATGAATCATGAGAACTAAGCAGTTTATATAAGCTATGTTCACATCTAAAACTAAAGTTTATGGGTTGAAATTTTGAGGAAGTATAAGACTATTCACGGAGGACCATCGTCTAACAGTACATAGAAAATTATTAAGTTGGGAAGAACCTGCAGAAGAGGAGATAGGTAGGGAAACTGTTACGTCATCGATATATTTAATGAAATTGATATCACCTGAAGGTAGTAAGTCATGCAAAAAGATATTGTGAAAGGATGGCTGCTTGGGAAACTTCAGTCACAGTAAGCAATGTGGTGGAGTGCTTCTCTTTGTGGACGGTATGTTGTTTCCTATCAGAGAAATAGCAATGCAACCAGTTGATTATCCAGGACTCAGTATTTGTCCTGGTTAGCCTGTCCAGCAAAAGAGGTCTTAGCACAGAATCAAATGTCGAAGTATAGTCTCAAAAGGCACACATGACATACTTGGCACTTTTATCAAAACCATAAAGAATTTTGTGATACAAGAGAGTAGTGGCATCCAAAACACTTGTTCTGTTGATTAGGGTCTCCGAAAGCCTCCAGTGAGGGCTCGAGCACATGTATTATTAGCTTCTCCATTACTTTTAAGAATGGAAAGGTGACTGTAATCAGACGGAATTTTATACACCTTTCTGGATCCCTAGGTTTAGGTACGGGTACCATCTTTCCAGGCAGCTGGTATGGTGTTTTTTAAAAAGGATCTGTTGAACATGTTAGCTAATGGATGGTATAAAACCCCAGTACACTTCATTAATACAAAGCTTCACATACTATCCGGACCTAAGAGAATGAGAAGTTTCAACAAATCCTAGTCGAAATAGCTAATCTGATCCTCCCATCAATAGTCTCCAACAGCCAACTTATGGTATATGGAAGTTTCCATACAACTATACACCTAAATCTAGTTATTCAAGTTTCGACGTTATTAGATCAGTCGTCATTTGACACAGTTTCTCTCTTCCCAAATGTATCGATCATTGAAACCATTGACTTCATATTGCACAGAACTTCATTATATTCCTATTTCACTGATTGAACTGAGGAAACTGTTAGTTTTATGCCCTAATTAAATGGTTAATTATTCCATCCAAATCAATGATGTTGCAATCAGAAGTCATTTAAGCCACATTTTCGTAGATCTATTACTTAGAGTTTGGTTGTTTTTTTGTAACAATACACACAATGGACGGAATCATAGCATTGATATATGGATGTTATTTTTATTATACAAGTAAAGTGGAGGTGGAAGTAGTTTTGAAGAAACTGAACTCACGGTATCCAAATCTTATTCTGACATTAAAAAAATTAAGAAAGTGATACAATCAAGTTTTTTTTAAATACTCTATTCGTGAAAAAGATTGATGGATCTGTAACTAGGTGTCTAAGAAAATTCAAATGAAGACCCAATACAGTCATAAGGAGAACCTACTATGCTGTAAAATTATTGTTTCTTAGCATCACGAAGCGGGAACTACAACAGTCTAGAAAAGACGAAATGTTTATCGTCGATACTTGGGATTCGGTATATCAATTAGAATGTGATTGTGGAAACAAATACATACGTTTACTCGTGTAGTTCAGCACTTGTCTAGATGGTTAAGTCGTCCTGAAGATTCTAAGAAGCTCTTTAACCAAATACCTACTAGATTACAAATATGATATCAACGCTTTCAAGTAATTTATGGTGATTAGCAGACAATGGAATCAGAAACTGCTTGCAATAGCGGAATACACAACAATCCGGGCCGTTGAATTGGAAAGATATACAAACAAATTAACGGAACTCCAATGGGATCACCGATAGCCGGACTAATTGCAGAAGCAGTGATGCAGATACTGGAAGGCATCATCCTAACTGTGATCAGACCAAAAATTTGGGTTCGCTATGTGGACGACACTTTTTTCATTAAAAAGGATGATATAGAAAACATTCACAGTTTGATCAACAACGTTTTCAATAACATCAAATTCATAATGGAGAAAGAGTCAAACAACCAACTACCATTTCTGGATGTTTTAGTCAGTAGGACAAATGCCTCGAACCTGGAAACCCAAATGTACAGGAAGCCAACATACACTGACCAAATCCTCAACTACAATAGCAAGAACCCAGCAACATGCGAAATCCGTTGCGTGCAGACTCTATACAGAAGAGCGAGAATAGACTGCAGCACAACAACTTCACGTAGGAACGAAGAAAATTACTTGATGTCCACCTGAAGAAGAACGGCTACCCACGAAACTTGGTCAAAAGATGCCTATCCCGTGCATCATCAACTATAAAGTCATCGACAGAAATCAATAAAAGCATCGACCTGTCGTACATAAAGAATGTATCAGAAATCACGACAAGATTTCTGAGACCACTTGGAATTGGCGTAGCTCATAAACTAATAAATCCCCTCAAAACACTATTATGCAGACCAAAGGAGGCAACAAGCAAAGAAGACAAACCGAACATGATTTACAAAATCAACTGAAATAACTGTAGTCAACACTACATTGGACAAAGTGGTCGCCCACCTTCGCCTATATGAGCACCAATTGGCTATTAAACGTCACGACATTTCATCACTCATTTCAATGAACGTGGACAATTACGGACATGTATTAATGATGGATCGTGGCTAGCAGTGGAATCAAGGATGAGCATTTCATCCCATTTGGGACTCGTCAGCTGGATGTACCTCCACCCCAGTGAGTGTTGATCCCACCGGGATTCGGACTCGGGAGCGATCGCTTCAAACGCCAGGCCGTTTTCCACTACACCACCGAGCCACTTCTTGTGCGACAGGTATAGTTTTAGTATAATTGTTTTTATATGGTACTTTCGTTGCTTGGACCGAATTGAACGATCTCTATTGGATTTCACTGCTAGCCACGATCCATCACTAATACAATTAGAACGCAGGCAATATCGAGGCACCCGCACAGGAGCCCATATGCCAGTAGAGACCGATCAATTCGGTCCAATCAACGACGGTATCATATGAAAACAATTATACTAATTATGGACATGAATTCAATTTCGACAATGTAGAAATTTTGGACGGAGGAAACATAAAGAATGTCAGAGAATTCCTAGAAGCTTAACATTCAGCAATCAACAGATATATAGACATATACCCTATAGATCAACCAATAAGGAAAACGATAGAAGACAGGAAGGTCAGAGGTCAAGCAGGGGGACAGCCATACAATCAATGACACAACAATAGAAGGAAGCAACCAATCGCAGACCACATCGTCAGAGGAAACCACTGAATCACTCACGGAGAGATATTGACAGCTCACTTCATACTGAAGTTAGTGCTGATGATGTCGTCTAGCAAGACGATTAAACAACCCAGCTGATAAAACACAATTCAACTAAAACGTCTCAAGTCTTTTTCAGTGTCATAGATACAAATGCATACGATTATCTTACCCCGTATTATATCATGGTATAAATAACTAAGTATGTAGTGCATTTGGCCTGAGGAGTTAGTAGTAACCTCAATTTCTTCCCTTGAACATGTTATTTAATTGTTGGGCGTTGTAAATTTTTGAGATGTTTGTTTGTAACAGGAGTGGCTAAGACCATTCGACATAACTTTCATCAAGCCTTGTACACTTTGCGCTCATTATATTTTTCTGTCAAAGTATGCTTAAAATATACTGTTGGCGAACATTCGTGTTTTGACCCTTTCAATAGAAGTACTAGCAACGGATACTGGACCTATTCTATACACGAAGTGAATGCATTCTCACACATTGCGGATCTATTAAAACCGATAGTTGGGTTAATAGGCTAAGTGTTCTGTTGAAATTAATGAATACATTAAATCCTACTTTCTAAATACATCTGTTAATTATGATAAATTGCTTGGTTGTGGCTAGCAATTTATCATAATTAACATTCAGGCAATATCGAGGTATCCTCATAGGAGCTCATATGCCAATAGAGGTCGAACAATTCGATCCAACAAAACAACAGAGAATAACAAGTATGTCAATAAATAGTAATAACTACCACCCATTGTACAAGAAGTGGCTATCATTCCTCTGTGGTATAGTGGATAATGCTTTGGCGTTTGAAGCGATGGGTACGAGTCCCAGTGGGAACATCACTAGGGTACAGATACATCCACTTGACGAGTCCTAAGTAGGACGAAACGCGCGTCCTGGATTCTTCTGCTAGCCACAACCAACCAATTTATTACAATTAACATTCAGGCAATATCGAGGTATCCATATAGGAACCCATATGCCAATAGAGGTCGAACAAATTCGATCCAACAAAACAACGGAAAATAACAAGTATGTCGATAAATAGTATCATCTGTTAATTGTTCTAAATTTGTAATGGATGAAAAATGTTTTCAGTTCTACTTATGTGAAAATTGTCAGGCGAAATTGCAGCGTATAAAGATATGCTTAAAGTGTTTCCAAGCTTTTTTTCATCTCTACTAGATTTCCAGGAGATCAAATAATGGCTATTGAATGTCCATCATTTAAAAAAACTCATTTTACGCAATGTTCACCCCACGTATGCTCTTTCACAGTTTGAACACATTGTTTCTTCAAGATAAATGAATTAGTATACCTAGGGAGTGTTGTCCTTCACATAGAACAATGTACATAGTTGTATATTTGATTTTCTGTGGAATGTTCTAATATTGTACTTGTTAAGAAGTCATCTAATCTTATCCGAGGCGTAACTGGACGGTTGTAGTGGGATATGATTTGAAAATGCTTTTTGTTGGTTAGAAATCATTATGAATGTATGTTGTATAGGGTGCTGTCCCAAGGAACAATAACTCAACAATCCATCTTTCTACTAAAACGAGTTAGTTTTTAAGAATACTACTTTGTCTTTGTTATGACTGAAGTTGGCGTTCTAACAGTAGGCGAACGAGATACTTGGACTGGATACGAGTAATACGACTGTTCTCTCCAACATCCTATACTTCAGTGAGCCGCGAAAATCAGAAGACAAAAGACAACCTATGACTGCAGAACCACTTTTATTATACAAGTACATGGTATACATATTTACAAAACTCTAAGAAAATGAAGGCACAAATGAACCAATCCGATTTGTTGTAGGATATAGAATTTGTCCAATCAGGTAATCATGTCAGTACATGTATAAATCATGATGTGAGAACAATTTCTCTATTGGTTGCTTTTTTTTCATTATGTGTCAGTCTTATCTTTCTGAGTCACAATAAACGGGTTACTAGAGTTTAATATTTGCTATACACTGTCAATCCAATGGACTTTGATCGGCTGATTTTACTCACCTACTTAACCTTTATAACTCCCACATTATTTAAAGTTTTACGTAGAGTTTCTGACATCGCTTCCTTAAATGTTAACATTAAGTAGGTTTAAGCTGTATGGTGGTTACCTACTGAATAACAACGACGTACGCTTAAAACCTACATACTGCCGAAGTTTACTTTATGGTTTGAGTATCTGAGACAGCCGTAGTTTGTCAGACTAGTATTTGTACCGGGTGACGATTGAAGGTGTGATGAAAATATGGACCACGGCCGGATTCGAACTAGCGACACCCAGGTTACCGGCCCGGTGATCTACCAATTGAGCTACAAGGTCAGACTGCTGACCAGAATTTATATTTCACTTCAATTACCAAGGGTTTTGCCCGATTACCATGTGAATTCGTGACGCGTTACTACCACTTGATCGTATTCACACTAGCACCGGGCCGGTAACCCAGTGGTCGCTGGTTCGAATCCGGTTGCGGCCCACATTTTCATCTCACCTTCAATCATCACCTAGTATCAATATTGATCTGACAAACTACAGCTATCTCAGAGAGTCAAAATGATGCTCCCCCTCTCTGGTTCAGTTAAGTTTGGATGAGAAGTCCGGTGTTAATACGATCAAGCGGTAGTAACGCATCATGAATTCACATGGTAGTCCAGCAAAACCCTTAGTGATTGAAGTGAAGTTTATTTGTCGAATTCATTTGTATATTTTACGTTTCCAGTTATTTGTAACTTCTTTTCCTACAGTCATTCTTAGTCATTCGCTAACTAATCTTCTTCTTATACTTTTCGCCTTGTCAATGTCAGACAGACTGTACATTGATGTTCTACAACACATCATCAAATATTCATAGAATGAATCCTTCAATAATGGAAAAAGATCAAGATATGCAGAGAAACTGAAAGTGAAAACATGAATGTTAGTTAAGTATAGCTAAATCATAGGATATTTGAATACGGATGGAATGAATACGCTGTTCTCTCTCTCTGTAGATACATTTCTATTGTATACAAAGTAGTGAGTATTATCACCTGACAAAAACATAAGAGAAGGAATACAATAAAGTATCTTATAAAGTGTAAAGATAAATGAAATTTAGAAAAATATTTATCTCTAGAAATAAAATTAGTAAACTATATTGGCATATGTTACATTATTCTAAGCGTTGGCCACGTAATATCTGAGCATAGGATACGGTGGATATATTTGAAATAGGCAATAGATGACAATCAATTTTACTATTCTCATCTAAATTATGCTTTTCATTAAGAAAGTTGATATTATTAGGAAATTCTTGTTTAAGTATATTGAGTAAACTGCCTCGATGATCAATAACTCCACCAGGTAGTTTACAGTAACCACGTCTAGCAATCACCATAACATAACGATTCGATTCTAAACCATAAGTAAATGATTCCATACCATAAAATTCTACTATATCATGAATAAATTGACGTTTTCTCTTATTCATTGGAGGGAAATAATAGTTTAATACACGAGGATGATCTGTGTGATTTTTGAATCAATTGGTTCAGTATTAGCCTTCAAGAACTAAATAAACAGTAGAATAAGAAAGAAGACAATATTTTATTCAGTAGTATAATCAATCATAAAAATGAAATAATAAGGTTGTATGCAGAGCAGATTACAAAGTTCATAGAAATATGAATCAATTAATCATGTCTTCTTTGTATCTGAGCACAAAAATGAAAATACATTCAGGAACCCTTGCCCTTGGAGTCTCACACCTATTTTAGTGAGACCTACTAATGATACTACCTACTTGCCTAAACTTCAATAGATAAAGCAGGCCTCGAACTCTTAACTCAACAGTCTTGATATTTATCTCTATAACCACCTAAGCCAAAGAAAGCGTAATTCCCATATTGACAGTGTAGGTAGAATCTATGTAATATGATTACAATTATTCCACATTAAACGTATAATTCAACAGTAACCTTATTTGCATAAATATTCTATACAATACGATCTCGATGAAGTCAGAATGAAGTAACATACACCAGAACAAACAAAAAAAAAAAAACAACTTACTTCCATTACCATACTTTTCAGTTGTTTTTCAACACTTTCAACAAATGTAAAATTACGTAATGCAAATTGTTTTAGATGTTCAGGGTATTCTGGAGTATTAAAAGGCGTCTCATCACTTGAATTAGGCAACGCAGTATGCATATTATTTATAAAACCACGTTTCCAAGTGTTTGTATCAGCATATTGATTAGTTGTATCTAATTCTGTGTGATTATTACACGAATCATCACAAGGCAATATAGGAATTGGTTTCACTGAACCATCAGCTATGAACAATGAACGAATAACTTCAGAGGATGAATTGTTGGCACTCTGTTTTTGTTCAAGAAGTGAAAACTTTTTAGCGGACACCTAAAGCACAAAAAGTTGCTAATAAATAATTACCACAAACGATAAATATATATGCAAATGTATAATACAAATTAAACGGTTACCATCACATATCATAAGTATTCCAAACGAGGTCTCCCTCTTGCCACCCGACTACACAGAGATTGACCTAATCGCAAGAGAATTTTCGTTAGACCTAGGATATGCAGTTGATGTAGTTCTGTTAGGTGAAGACGCTGACAAGATGCGGAGTCTTCTCAACACTTTCAGTAGGAATTCGAGAATGTTTGCGATGTGTTAATCAACACACAAAAGCTAATTGTTGCTCCACGACTGGTCTTCAACAGTGCAACGATTAACAATAGAGTGAAGTGGTTGAGTGTGTCGACCACTTCACTTACCTGAGAAGTAGGATCAACCCTGCTGCGTTAGTTCCCCATTAAATCTCTGCACGGATACAAAAGACTCGACTCGCTTTCGTCAACTTACCCCACTCATGGAGCTGCCACCATATACGATTGTCTATTAAGGGTCACATGTACTACACAGTAGTCCACTCCGTTCTACTGTATGGCTGTGAAACATGGCCAGTGAAGGTGAAAGACATGAAAAGGCTGTCTTCAGGTGTCTCACCACCGTTGTCTTCGTAGCATAGGCCGTATTCCGTGGTGTCACCACATGACTAACGAAGACATCAGGTATAGAGTTGTAGGGAGTAGAGGTAAATCTGTTGACGAGGTTATGAAGCTGCATCGAATGAGATGGATGGATGACTGGGACATGTGTTATGCATGCCTTGTCACCCATTGCCTCGTCACACGATGTCGGTCGAAGTAGGTTCAGGCTGGAAAAAGGCTCCAGACGGCCACACTCAAACATCGCATCAATGTATGAAGTCGTTCAGTGTTGGTTTCAGTCATGTGGCGAGATGCAGACTAGGTGGTTGGGGTCTGCGTGACAAGAGGAACCAGTGGTTGGAGACTGATTCTCTATACCAAATCTCACCATTTTCTCATCCTCTCTTTCTCTCTTTTAGTACTTTATACTTCTTTTGACTTAATTTTGTTTCCTTCTTCATCTTCCTCTTCACTCCCTTTTCACTTGATGTGGTGATATGAGGTGCGACAACTCGGTCCGCTACGAAGTAATGCTTAGTCCTATGTTGATATGGACGGAAATGACTAAATGTGAGCAATAAGTCAACTATCAACTACAAAGTCATGGACAGAAATCAACAAGCACATCATCCTACCGTACATAAAGAATATATCAGAAATCACGACACAAATCAAGGAATTGGTGTGGCCCATACACCAACACGTTCGCTCCAAACACTGTTAGGCAGACCACAGCATGCAACAACTAAAGAAAACAAACCAAATATCATTTACAAAATCAACTGCAATACTTGTGATCAACACTACATTGGACAAAGTGGTCGATCACCTTCGTCTACATGAACACCAATTGGCTATTAAACGTCACGACATTTCGTCACTCATTTCAATGCACGTGGATAACAACTATGGACATGAATTTCATTTTGACAATGTGAACATTTTGGATGGAGAGAAGAAACACAAAGAATATCAGAGAATTCCTAGAAGCTTGGCATTCAGATCAGTCAGTCAGCAATCGATAGATGTATAAGACGACATAGACCCAGTCTATCAACCAATGACAAAAATGATAAACGACAGGAAGATCAGAGGTGAAGCAGAGGAACAGCCAACAGAGAAATCTATGCAATCAGTCAATGACATAATAGTCAAAGGAAACAACCAATCACAAACTAATTCGTCCAGGTAAGCTACTAAATCACTCCCGGAGAGATATTGACAGCTCACTTCACACTGAAGTTATTGGTGATGTCTTCCAGAGAGACGATGAAAGCTCCAAGATTAAACAGCTCAGAGAACAAAATACAACCAAGATAGACAGAATGCTAAATGAAAAAAGGAATAAACAGTCGACTCCAAGAGATACATTCGACAAAGTTTCTACCACTATCAAAAAACAGAGGACTAAGTGACAAAATACAAGCAGAACCTTTCCCACAGGTGGAGAGAAAAGGACAAAGATTCAAGCTTCAGAAGACGTCAAGGAGTGAATATATCTGAGCCACTGTGACCAACTTTTTCAACCATGTCACTAATAGTCCTCAACCCTTGATTTATATCGTCTCGGGGACTCCAACTCTCCAGTCTACATCTCCTCACGTGGCTTAGACTAACATTCAGAGATTTCATAGTGGTGCAATGTCTTGGTGTGGTCACCCTGAACCCACTTCCAACTTATTCCGGTTTCCCGACTGACAGCTGCTACCTCGACATGGTCGTCGGGCTTGCATATCACAATAACCCAACAACGAGCTATCCTGGTAGAACGCTTGTTCCCTCGAAGTCCTACTATGTCAGAAAAGTGTATTGGATAGTGGTAAGACTAAAAGCAGTTACCGTTACGGTAGAAATCACTACACTATGATGGGGGTCTGAGGGCAAAATCGTACTGATGCTAGCTGGATGGGGTGTGACAGCAATAAGGTGTTTCTTTTGGATAACTAGCGGTACCGCGCTGATGCTACCCTCTTAACAAAGGTGCGGAGTTAGTAAAGGTCGGTCTCAAAAATAATACACTGCATCATGCCCATAGTCTTCCGGTGACAGTAGCATGGTTTCTGTCTATTCCGTCTTAGAACAACCAAACCTTGAAACAACAACCCATAAAAAGCTATGTGAGAGGCCTCAAGCACATGTCCCATGAGCACGTGGTCACGCAAATTCTTTTCGCTTTCAGACACCTTAAAATGAAATAGCCTTCCACGGTGCGGGAAGCCGGGAAGTGCCAACCGCCTGCATACTACCAGTGGTACACAAAACCCAATCCAACATGACTTATCCCCCGTAACTCTGTCTCCTCCTTCGCCTTCACATCTTGATACAAATATAAGGCCTTTCACATCTTCCACAACCTCTAATTCTGTGAACGTAGCGAACAAGCAAAGCCATCGAAATTTCATTCGTAGTCTCCTAAGACCCCATCAGCCATCGATTCCATGTTGGAGCTATCGATGTCCAAACTCTATGCCAAACCTGGCAGCAAGCATCGCTCGCCAAAACTATGGAATTTCGATCTATGGATGAGTACTGTGTATCTGAGACACATATACAGGACCAGAGTGTGGCTATTATATTTGACCTCACCTGGCCATAGTGATGAATCTTTAAAATTCACTTTTGGAGTATCAGGAGACGCAATCGTCAGCTCTCGTGAACTAGCTAGTGTAAATATACCATTGACTCGTAGAGCAGAAAGTGCTCTCCTCGACTGGATACAAACGTCTTCACTTCTCATTTTCGACTTCCAGGTTATCATGTATTCCTCTTGTGCGTTACTAATTGTTCCGAAAAGTGCAAACTCTTTAAGGAGGAATCTTCTCTCCAGAGCTGAAATCAGGAAGGTAGAAGTTACTTATCTCTAACCTATCAAAGATCAAACCTCAGGGGTTAAAGGTTGTTACAAACTGCATGATGTGATCTATTTCAACGAATTAAAACCAGTAGGTAGGCAGTCTGATCAGTCCTTAGTTGCTGTCAGCATAATTGAAACAGCTGGATATTATTACCCAAGTATTACCATGAGGACCCTCTGAGTGAGTTATCTCAGACTCAGCTAGTCTCTACCTGTAACCTTATTTCCATTCCTTCATATATTCATTACTATTATTAAAACATCTACTTACTCTCAACGTTTTCCTGTGGATACCATATATATATATATATATATATATATATATATATATATATATAATATATATATATTGTCGATAATCATTACCACTTACATATAATCTTATCTTTTGCGCCCTAACTTCGCAATACTTTCAGTCCCCTTCGTTCTAAACTACTTTGGTGAGACTACACACATTGGGGCAACCGAATTTCAAATGACGCTAAAGACATAAGCTGGTAGAGGCTGATTAAACCCTATGTATGGGTGCAGAGATTTCATCAGTTACTTGCCTTCAAGATTAATCCGATGTCTCGAGTAAGTAAAGTGGTAAATGCACCAAACTACGACTTTTGACTTATGCTAATAAGTGTTTGTGTTCCAAGATCTGATGGTTAATGAATATCTGGCTTATGAACTCTCTAAAACATGGACAAGCTGCCTCTTTCGTTCAGGATTTCTGTTTCCGAACTCCTCATGGGTCTCTAATGATCATAAAATATTGAGTCTTAGACACCGTATTTGGTCATAAGAAACTATATCAGTCAGTGTAGCCACTAATAGACAGACATGAGATTAACACAGGACTAGGTGTTACTAAGTCACAGTCCGAATAGTCACACCTCATCAGGCATCAAGCGAAAAAGCACTACGATGAAATATGTGAATAGAGAAGAAACTAGTCAAAGTGGTCCAATGTCGTGATAAGATAACAAGCAGGAATAAGAAGATGCTGAATTAAGCATGACGACCAAGATAAGAATGATATGTGGATACATCTGCGACGCAGATCGATTTTGAGCCATATCACTTAGGGTCTCTAACCATTGGTTTCTGCCGTCACACCGACGCTGACCGAAAAGTATACATTTCCCTACACGGCTCAGATCAACAGTCGAAGACTTCATGTAATGATGGCCACCTTTCACCTTTTCCAGCCTAAATCGACTTCAGGTAACGTTGTGCGAGTAGGCAGATAGTGACTAGGCATGCATAACAGATATCCCAGATACGAGAGCCGATGTAAGTTCATAGCCTTATGCTTTTCTTCTTAAACCTCTCTGCTTGACTTCTGCGTCAATAAGATGATTACTGGCTGCTGATAGTTGCTATATTTCTTAATCTGGAAGTGACGTTTGACTCTGTCGACCGTAGACTGCTGTGGTAGTGTCCTACTCTGGAACGAGTACCGTGCTAGTATACAACGCTAGTCCAAGCTCCCTACTCAAATTCAAAAGTTATGGGAGTTGTCATCCAGAGTGAAAACAACCAGTGGTGTTCTCGAGGAATGGCCGCTGTTGCCGTTCATGTTTAATTTTGTTGTTGATGCATTAATGGACATAACTTTAGGTACATCTGACTTCGCAGGGATTGATCTACTCCCTGGAGATCATCTGGTTGACTTGGAGTATGCCGATGATATTGTCCTGCTAGATGTAAACGCTGACGCGATCCACAGTCTTCTGAACGCGTTGAGCAGAAATCTGAGTACGGCATGCGTTTCTCTGGCGCCTGTCAAATATAAGATGATGCTGCAGGACTGATTTACTGCAAGCACTCCCATTTTAATAATAAGGAGTGTAGTAGTGGAATGTGTCGACCGCTTACTTGGAGAGTTATATCGACCCAGACGGGCTGGTTGCTGACAAAATCTCAGCTGGTATACAGAAGGCCCGTTTAGCATTCGCCAACTTGCGTAACCTGTGGCACCGACTGAGGAGATATCCGACTATCTATGGAAGGAGTATACTGCGCTACGGGGCATTCTGTTATACGGCTAAGACATTTCCATTGGAATTAGATATGAAGCGACTACAGGTTTTCGATCCAGCAAACCAAGACCTGTCAGGTTCGATCTTGATATCTGTTGATCGACATGAGCGCAATAAGTGTTTCGAGCAGTATCTATAAAAACTTGGACAGTGTAGAGTTTCTGTCAAAAGTATAGCACATCACTTTGGAAAGCACTTACTAGACGAAGGACAATAAACATAGATGGATCAGAATGGTGTAGTGTCCCCACCAACCTAAAGGTCTAATTCTAATGACTTCGTTTATAACCATCCTGATATACTAGCAGGGTATTCTTTCTCTTTGTATTGAACAAGACGAGTGACCCACGGTTCATCCTTGTCTCCATGCTAATGTTTTCCGAATCATTTAGCCTATGTGAGTGAGTCTAAAACTTGCAACTAATGAGGTGTGATATATCTATTCTCCTCGTCGATCGATCGCCATTATTCCCACTCGTTCTGTTTCCTAATACACCCTGTAGTAAATTCGTTTTTAAAAAGAAGTTTTGTTATAGTCTCTGCTCTTCGTCTAATCTTGCAATCCAACATTGCTAGGTCACCTTCTCCGCTTTCTAAGTTACCTGTAACTTGGATAGTCTCTGCTTTTACTTCCTCTGGATTTCGGGGCTCTTAGATTCTAAACAGATATTTTTCATTTCCACTAGTCCCTACCGCAGAAGATAGTTCAGTTATGAGCTGCGTTTTTGTGTCCAGTATTCTCTAACCTCACTCACTTCATGGGCTTTGTTTTCCCATAGTATTTTACCTGATCATTCTCTAATTTTGCTAGTCTTATTATTTCTCACTGCACTAGCAGCCACTAAAGCAAACAGGGAGCGACCAACCCCTGGATGCCTCTAATATTTTAGATAGACCCATTAGTTTTAATTGAAACGTCAAAAGTTTAATAGCCTTTGTCTAACATTAGATGTTGTTTGCATTAGTCTGTTGTTGATTAGACCGAATTTATCAATTTCTATTGGCGTATGGCCTCTTGCGCGGATACCTAGATATTGCCTTTATTTTCACTTTCATTTTTATTGATGAGTAGTGGCTAGCAGTGGAATCCAGGATGCGTGTTTCATCCTATAGGGGACTCGTCAGCTGAATGTACCCCCCTTACAGTGAGCGAACCTGAGATAGCGCTCTGATGTTTGAAGCAATTGGTCTCGGATTCGAGTCTTAGTGGGAACAACATCGCTCATTAGGAGACAGGCACTTCCAGCCGAAGATTCCAAATGGGACGAAATGCGAGTCCTGGATTCCACTACTAGCCACTATCCATCAATGATATCAATCTGTCTAGCATAATTAGTTTAAATCTTGATGGATGATCAGATTTTGTTCTATAGCAAATGCAAATCTACTAGTCCTTATACAAAAACTTCTCAAGACCTATCACAGTAGATTGATAGTTTGTTGGCAACTTACTTCACGTCATATAGCCTTTGATAACTCAAGGACGGTTGTTTGAAAACCAGCATCGTTTTCGTTCACTGCTAAAAATGGCACTTTAGTGTCAATCTGAAATGCTCAATAAACAATATGAGGGATATAAAATCTAGAGACCTTTTATTTATAGATAACTTTTCTGCTGCTTGGCTCTCGCTTTTAGTGTTAAGCAAATGAAATCTTTATAACTGGAGTATGTAAAGTGAATTCACTCAGACCATATAAGAATTCGGTAACTGTTTCTAAACCACAAACTGCTCTTTACCTACAAGTTTAAGGCTACTGTATTTCAAATGTTATATGAATGATTAACATGGTAAGATGTTTTACAATCTTAAATTAAGTAGTATCACCATCCTCCAAGTAGTGCAATCATTAATATTGTTGATGGAACTTATACTTTTGTGTCGTTCTTGAATGAACCAGAGAAATGAGTCTTGAGTCTTTATGAGACAGCTTGAAAATTTCATTTTACTTGATTTTAACGTAAGATAGTATGGGGATTTCTCATGAGAGATACATTGTTAACTTAGAAATATAAATGTCAGAAGTTCGGTACAGGGCTGAGTGATAAATTTAAGGATTTTAAGTTTAATTAATAGAACTTTTATGGCTTGACTAGTAGTGCTTTGGGGTTACGAATAAACAAATGTCATATATTCTATGTTTTTGTCGTTAAATAATACGTCATTCCCCTCCCCCTCCCCCCAAAAAAACGCTGAACTTTTTTTCGAAAAAATAACCGACTGATGCTTTAAGCCTTCGTTCTCGGGAATCACGGTTTTTTTCCAGCTCTTTACAAGTGAAAACCCATAAGTGTGATAATATTGACTTTTTATCGTGCCTGACATTCTTTTCACAAGTCGGTTTCCAACTTTTCACCGCGCATTGATATAATGACTCAGAAACCAAATGGGTGCACGTTTATGTACTAGGCGATCAGCTTCATTTTAATGTATAGTGGTTTATCCTACTACCTTGTTACTCAGGGGAGAGCAAATCGAGTAGGATTCGAACCCAGGGTCTGTTTTTTTGAAGTCGGATACTGAGTCCATTTAACCAGATCCTTTGTATTTCCTTCATATACAAGGCGGAGTATGCAGTTAATGTTGCCCTACTAGGTGAAGATGGTGACAAAATGCAGGGTATTCTGAACGCGTTGAACATAAATCTAAGTATGTTCGGAATACATCTTGCACCTGTCAAGTGTACGATCGTATTCCAGGACTGGTATACAATCATTCAGTTGGATGATAGGGTGTCAAGTGGTAGAATATGTCAACCACTTCACTTGCTTGGGAAGTTGCGTCGACCAGAACAAGCTGATCACTGATGGAATATCAGCTCGGACACAGAAGGCCCGTTCGGGATTGATAATTTCCGTCATCTGTGGTGCCGACTGGCAAGATATCTAACTATCTATCAAGGGACAAGCATACTGTGCTGTAGTTCGTTCTGTCCCACCATACGGCTATGAAACATGACCAATAAAAGTAGAATATAGGAAGCGATTACAGGGTTTCGATCATATGTGTCTTCGTAGCATTGCTCGCATTCAGTAGAATCACCGTGTGACCAATGTTGAAGTTAAACGAAGGGTACTAGGCATGATAGGCAAGTCAATTGGTAAGGTTGTGAACCTTGGTTGACTTAGCTGTCTTGGATATATATTGTACATACCGAACCATCGCCTACCTCGAAGTGCTATGGTAGGGGAAGTTGGATCAGGTTGGAAAAGGGTTCAGGATGACCAGACCAAGATGTGATATCAGTCGATGAAGTCTCCTACTGTTGCTCTTAGTCGTTTGGGGAGACGTAGTCTGCCTGTTTGGGGTCCTCGAGGTGAAAGGAATCAGTGATTAAGAACTCTTAATTTTAGGATTGGTAATCGGTCACAATAGCACGGATGTATTCACTCCTTGGCCCCTTGATTTTTTACTCTAAGCTTTATATTCAAATTGTTAGTTCGCCCACACAACTTTGTCTACTTTAATATCAGTCTTTCTCTATCTGCTTGTTTTTTGCATACCAGTGTGAAGTGTGTCAACCTGGACCGATGCACCTGTATGCGATGTTCTACGTTGATTTTGTCTGCCTGGCATTTAAGACTTCATAACGTTACTGTAGCTAAGACGTATCGCATTTTTCAGTTGTATTGTTATTTTCGACTTCAACACCTCATTTTTATAAGCTTTGTGAAACTGTGTTTATGCTTATTTTTTCACTTCAGATTAAAACACTTGCTGACTACAATACCGTAACCGTTGACTTTGTACTCACTGCATTCTACCATCCAGTCGTCTAAATAATGAATGGTAAAGATCGAGAGAATCTTTTGAAGCTGATTAAACGTGCGAAGGTAACACTGCCTATCTTATATATATATAGCATTATAAGTTGTTGGGTAGTAGGTCTCACGGAGAACTGAGTCCTATAATGGCATTTATTTGCACACTATGGCTACACAAATCTCAGCAGTGAGATTTTCAGATATGTAGTCCATTTCAGTAGGAATATTAAAAATTATATGTTCAGGTATGCAACTTGGCGCATATCAATGTCAGGGACACCATAAAAGCTTGAAGGAAAATATCTACAGTGATTGTAGCAAATTACCCTTAGAATAAACAGAGAGAAAGTAAATATGACTGCATAAATATGAAGGTTTGCAAATAAAACTTAACTGCTCGTATGCAGACGAACAGACAGATCAGCGTAGAACTTGACACGTAAGTACGTCGGTTACCTCACTTCAAAGGAGCCTGCTAGGAAAAAGAGTATAAAATATGGATAATGAAGTAACCCCCTATCTAGTTGAATGTTAAAAAATGTTCTAGACTTAGAAGATAACATACAGCATATGCACCTGCGCCATTGTCAGTGATTTTCAGCCATATCACAAAGAGTCTCTGATGATTGATTCCTGTTATCTTAAGGGCTCCAGTCAGTAATCTCTGTCTCACTACGCGACTCATAACAACAATCAAAGACTTCATGAACTGGTTCCGCTCTTGGTCTTCTCTCCTCCCAATCCTGCTTCAGCTAAAATTCAATGTTGAGGTGGGAAGCAACACATGTCCAAGCCACCTCAGTCTCTGATGGTTCACAGCCTCATTGACTGATTTACCTATCTTTCCCAGTACCTTACGCCTGACCTTCACGTTGATTGCATACTACATGAGCAATGCTACGAAGATACCTGTGTTCGAAAAACTGTAGTCTCTTCATACCTACTTTTAACGTCCGTATCTGACAGTTGTATAACAGAACAGAACGGAATGCTGTACAGTATACTCGTTCTTCAAAAGATAATCGGATATTTCACCAGTTGGCATCAAAGATGATGGAAGTTGGTGCTAAACGTGCCCTCTATATCGGAGTTGGGATATCTGTTGATAGCACAGTTGAGCAGTTGAAAAATTACTCAGCTGTGAGAAATGTCAATGTGGATCGTGCAGTTTGTTAATCACTTGAAAATTGACCATCCTATTTGAAGTATGCCGATCTATGAAAGTTAGCTTGCCAGATTCAAGTGACCTAATCGTGACAGGTAATTTGTGTTAGCTGAATTTGTCTAGGTACACTTGTAATGAACTGACTCAGCCCTAAACCAGTAAATCGGCCTCCAGTGTTTTGACCGTTCGGATCTGGCTGGAGAAATACTACACATCAGTCTGACTGGTGTTTGTAACTACCCAAGTTTTTTTAGTAGAATAAGGTAACAAAAAGTCTACAAAGATATTAGTATAGGATTCAATATACTAAAAATTTAGTTTCTGCAACACAATTTGAAAGGTTGCATGAGATGCGTTTGAAAAGAGATGAGTTCCACCTAAAAACTTCCAAAAATATTCTGTTAAATCTAGTCGTAGGTGGAGGCAAATACAAGCAGCTTACATTTCCAAGCAATTGACACTTGGGAATAAAATTCTGTTCTTAGGAAATTGAATCAAACGTTATATAAAAAAACATTTATGTCATCTCCATCCTTACTTATTGACTTGTAGCTCACTGAGATTTAGGCGCTCGACTATCAAATAACTACTGAGGTTTCAGCAACTAAGTAGCAGCCCTCACAGTAAATGTAGCTTGTCTAACGCACAGACGTGCATATGATTGCCGAGTTACACTTAATATTATTATTATTATTTTCCCCTTGGATTCCTAGTGGAACATAGGGCTTCAGTAGCACGCCTCCATTCCACTCTCTTCTCTGCAGTCTTTACAACCTGGCTCCACAACTGCCCACAAGCTTTCATTTCTTTCTCACATGATCTCCTCCATGTCATCCTCGCCTCGGACGTCTAACTTGTCTTTTCGCCCTTGGGTTCCACTCGAGGGCCTAGCGCATGATGTCCCAGTCTGTCTTCTCAGTTTAGGCCCAATTCATTTCCACCTTCTTCTGCATATTTGTTGGGTGATAAGTTCTTGCTTCGTTGGTTTGTTCCCAGAGTTCCTTGTTGCCTATTCTTTCTGGCCATCTGATCTTCAGCATCAGAGGCAGCCGTTGATGAATGTCTGTAGTTTGTCTGAAGTGCTTTTCGTGACACGCCAAGTTTCTAAACCGCATAGCAGCACTGGCTTGACTGGATTGGTGTTGAAAATCCGGATCTTATTCTTTGTGCTTTTAAGTTTCTTCAGTGATTGCATTCGTTTTACGGGTAGGTTTGATAGCCTTATGCCCAACCCTCCTTCTTTACCCAGGCTTAGGACCGGCTAGTAACTAGTGAACTAGTTAACCAGGCGAGTTTGAGTACACTTAGTTTGTATTTTTCGTTATATCTGTGATCGCCGAAAACCGCCTTGTAGATAAATAGACACTCGAATATTTTCTAATTGTAAATTAAGTTTTTATAGTTTTTCTTCAAAAGTGGTCATATATGTAGTCGTTACATAAACAAACTGTCTTTAAGTGTTTGCACACTTTATATAAATACTCATACTTTTTTTTCAATCATTTTTACAGGATTTACACACAGATGAGGAGAAGTCTCATCTACGGTAAGCTTTTTTTTGCATAGACCAAGCTATTACATTCAAAAATGTTATTGTTTTGTTTTGCAAACTGGTCCCAATTGAATTGCCATGGTAACTGAGTGTACTAAATAGTTGGAACATCTGTTTCGTAAAAATCCTCATGAAATACATCCTAACTGTTTTGCTCAAAATTAAATTTGCCCCTTTAAGTAACTATGACTGGTGGTGATTTCTGGAATTGCTCAATAACGTGGACCAATAGTAACTTGTTTACCTTAAGGAAGCTTTCTTAAACTGTAATATGAATGGGTATGAATTAAAAAGAACGCAATTGTTGATTTGATAGATTTGAACCAAGGTTGTGTGCGTTTTTTTTTGTTGAAAAATAACGGTTCTGTGGATCGAACTGAATTTCAGCTTACTTTTTGCTAAACATGAACGCTTTAAATTGAATCCAAAACTAGGTTTGGTTTATTTTCTATCCTTCACTTCAGAAGGGGGCAAAAGAGATGTTCGATACACCTTAGGTCATTAGTTATCTGACTAAGTGTCTTTGGTGTCAGAAAATTTCTAGTTTTTAGCTACTTGAACCATCAATATTTATTTAAAGTAATTATTATAATTTTCTCCTGACTAAATGTGCACTTAATTCATACTGCTGCTAGCTGGTTGAAATGTGATAGCAGTAAGATGTTACCTTTGGACGACCAGCAGTGCGACGCTAATGATGCTTTCTCAATGGAAGGTGGGGGCGTTAGAAAAGGTCGGCTCTATAAATAACACACTCCACCATGCCCCATGGCCTCCGGGTGCCGTTGGTATGAGTTTTTTGTCTATCCAGAGTTCGGCCAACCAAACCTCGAAACAACAACCCACAAAGAGATGTGTGTGACAGCCTTCAAGCAGATATCCAATGGGCTCTGTGGTCACGAAAATCTTCTCTTTCAGATCCCTGAAGAATACCTGGCCTTCCTTGGTGTGGGCAGCCGGGAAGTATTAACCGCCCTCACAACTCTGTCAACGCTCAAGTCTATTCAGACTGGTATCCACCTCCCTCATCCTTACTTTCTAATCTTCCTTCTCATCTCTCAGTTAACAATCCTACATCATCTTTAATTTTTTATTACTCAACATCTTTCGACAACGATCTGAGTTCACAAAATAGCATCTTTGCTATCTTTAAACCACGCTCCAAATTACATATTGGAGCCTTCAATGTCCGCATCCTCTGCCAAATTCGTCAACAAGCTTCGTTGGCTAAAACTGTAGCAGCTAAGGCCATGAACGTGTTCTATGTTTGTGAAACACGCATACAGGACGCAAGTGGGGTTATTCACGTAACCTCTCTTAATGGATATGGTGAATACGCAAAATTAACCCTTCGAGTTTCTAGAGATTCGATAGCTAGCTCTCGTGGTCTTGCAGGTGTAGGCATAGCATTTGACACTAGAATAGTAAGCTCACCACTAGACTGGATCTCAGTTGACTGTGACCTATGCGCTGTCCGGCTAACAGCGGTACAGTGAAAAATGAAAGGGACAGAGAAACTCACTGTTGTCTCTTCATAATCTCTGCATCTGCTGACTGCAATTCGGATGAAGTGAAGGATGAGTTCTACCGAAAAATGTCTAACCTCCCTCTGAAAGCCAAACGTTTAGATTTTATTGTTGTTGCAGGTGATTTCAATGCACAAGTGGGTAAACTGCGTCAGGCAGGAAGGCAATTGGGTAGGATTTTTGGAATAGCGGCTGAACGAACATAACGTTGACAGCCTACTACGACTGTGCTCAGATAACCGCTTATCTTTAGCTAGCACAAATTTCAGACAAAGAAAGACATTGTCTGGCATGGCGTCATCCGAGCTCAACTCAGCGATGGACACAGATAGACCACATTGCTATCAGCCATCGGTGGAAGACTGCCGCTCCTTCTGGAGTACATGCTTGGATAGCGACCACGCCTCGGTCCGAGCGCGTATACACCTGCGTCTCAATGGACTTTAGAGAAATTTGGCAACAAAACCATTACGAGTACAGCTCGACAACGAAAACACCAAAGCCGCTTTCAGTGAGAAATTGGCTAGACAGTTATCGGAACAGAAGACTATCACTCATCCAGAAGAAGTTCGGTGCTATCTCCAGTCTGCTGTAAAAGCAGCGCTGAAGACCGCAGCCGACTCCTAAAGAATGGCTAAAAAGAGCTAGTGGATATCAACAGCTTCTTTCGAACTAATGGGTGCGCGTCAACGCATCCCTGCAGGCTCTGATTACAATGAAGAGCGAGCGCAACTTAAAAGTAGGTTGAGAAAAAGTTTACGCAACGATCGCGAATAGTGGTGGGCAGCGAGGGCTAAATAAATGGAAAAGACAGTGGCGATTGATAACAGTGGGCAATTATTTAGACTTAAGGAAACTGATGCGAAAAGGTGAACGTTTAGTGACACTGTAGTGGAGAGGGATAATAGGTCTGCGAACCACTCGCAGAAAAGACGACTGGAACGATACGCAGAACTCTTCGAGGGACAGTCAAGAAACCAATAGGTAATTTGAAACGAGGAAGGGCAGCGGGACCAGACAGACTAGTTCGTGAAGTTTATAGAAATGGTGATACTGTGTTTTTAGCCAAGTTACCCGAATTGTTAACTAGTGTATCGGAGTCAAATATTGATATCCTCTGACAGGTCTCAGTCGCTGATTATCCAGGTCTTCAAGAAAGACGAGAAGTCCTCTTGTGATAACCACATAGGAATCAGCCTGAAGAACATATTATCTAAGTTCTTATGTTTTGTAATCATTAAATACCTCAGTAGAGCTTGGGAACAGGAAGTCCGAGAAAACCAGGCGGACCTGGTCGTGAGTGTATCGACCGAATCTTGACACTCGACCAGGTTCGGGAACGCAGGTAAGCTAACTGACGCTTGACGTTGGCTGTATTTCTGGACCTGAAGGTGTCATTTGACTTCATCTATTCGGAAGTCTTATGGCAATGTCTCACTGAAAGTGGTACCGAGAAAGTACATCACTTAATTAAAGGCTCTTTACTCGAACACCTGTGTGGTTGTTATAGCCTATGGTTAGATGTTAAGGGAGGTGTTTACGTGAAGGATGCCCACTTTCTCCATTCTTATTCAATTTTATCATAGATGTTCTTTTGGAGGTCTGTCTTTCGACATCTGACTATACAGAAATTGACCTGATCACAGGAGAATTTTCGTTAGACCTAGAAGACGCAGATGATATATTCCTGTTCGGTGAAGAGGCTGGCAAGATGCAAAGTCTTCTGGACACCTTGAGTGGCAATTTGAGAATGTTTGGGATGCGTCTCTCACCACCCTAATAAAAAATTGTTGCTCCGGGATTGATCTTCAACAGTACCCCGGCTAACAATAGAGAGTGAAGTGGTTGAGTATGTTGACCAGTTCACTTACTTGGGAAGTCGGATCAGCTCTGGTGCGTTGGTCAGTGGCGGACGAAGTCTCTGCATGGATAAAAAAGGCTCGGTTGGCTTTTGCCACCTTACGCCATCTATGGCACCCCTGCAGTGTCCGACTGTCTGTTAAGGGCTGAGTGTACTTTGCTACAATCCTCTCTGTTCTACTGTATGGGTGTGAAACATGAGCATTAAATATATAAGAAATAAGAAGGCTACAGGTGTTTTGCCATCGTTGCCTTCGTAGCATAGGTTATGTTTCGTGGTGTCGCCAGGTAACGCAGAAGCCAGGTGTAGAGTTTTAGGCAGGAAAGGTAAGTTAGTTGATGTGGTTGTGACCCTTCATCGACTGAGGTGGTTGGGTCATGCGTCACGTATGCCTACCTATCGTCTGCCTCTTCGCACAATGTTTGGCCAACCTAGGTTCAGGCTGGAAAAAGGCTTGGGGTGGCCAAACTTAAACATGGTACCAATGCATGAAGTTGTTGACTGTTGGTTTGAGCCATGTAGGGAGATAGGAACTACTTTCCACTTCTTTGGACTGATTTTTCTTTCTTTTTTCATCTTCCATTTTATTGTCTTATCACTTCATGTACTGGTATGAAGTTTGGCAACTTGGATCGTTACGCAGTAATTCCTGGTCCTATGTTGATTTTGATGATGATAATGATATACATTAGATCTACTATTAGTGTCTCCTGTGGCAAGACGAATCTCTGCGAATTTAAACAACAAGAGAGCGACCTCTGTAAAACAATTAGTAAGAAAAGAAAGAGTGGACGTCCTTGACAGACACCACTTTACGTTCACATATAATTTGGTAACTCACCGCAGACTCTAACATGCCTACAGGCGTTCGAGAGAATAGCCAGCCTTCAACGGAGTGATTTACTTACTTGAACTCAAAAATTACCAAATAGGCACTAATTTTTCCTTATGTTTTCCACTTTCAGTGTCCTACAGTAGTTTGTGAAAATATTATTTCCTTTTACTGAACCATTTTTCTAAGTTTATGATCATCTGTTTAGGTCCGAATCGAATGCTTTGTGTTATGTTTAGTGTTGCTTGCATCATGCAATATGATTTCGTTTTCCATAAGATTGTAGGTCATTAGCATATGTAACTCTCCGGTCTTTCATGGTCTTTAACGTATGAAGCTATTTTGATAATCTGTAATTTAGTATTTCATGCTATTGTGTTGGTTGTAGAACTGCTAGTTGTTTTTGGAGATTTTGAAGCCTACAACTTTTATTACACGCAATCGTTGCTTTTCTAGATGAAGAGATAATATAGAAAACAATGACTGATGGATTGTTTTGTCGAAATGTCAGCGATTGGAACTTCTTGTAGTATGAAGATTACCATTGATATCCAATTATTCTCTTATCATATTCAGGTTTTTCAAACAGTAGTGGCTAATTTTTGTTGCCAATCGAAAATAACATGTATGCCAAATTCTTAGCCATAGTAGCGCAGCACTCTAGTAAATTTTTAGTTAACGGAAACTTTCTAGAAGCTCAATAATGTACATGATTTTTACTGTTTATTAATTTAACTATCTGAGATAGGCGTAGTTTTGCAGACTACTATTTTATACTGGGTGATGATTAAAGGTGATATGAAAATTTGCACCACGGTGGGATGCTCTACCAACTGATGTCCAACTACTGACCAGATTTTTATTTCACCTCCAATCAGCAAAGGCTTTGCCCGATTATCATGTAAATTCATAACGCGTTACTACCGCTTGATTGTGGTCGTTTAGTCTTAAGGATGCTGCTATACTTACTCATCTTCTAAGAGGCGTAGTCACTTTACTGTCCCCTGTTGGATCACTGGTTAAAATTGACAATGTCTTATTTGCAGTTATTAGCTGAGAATTATTACTAGGACTCATGCAACAGAGGTGCACCGTGCTGTATATTAGTTGAAACCTCACGAGTTCACTAATTATTGTTTATCCATATCATTATGAATATATTTCGCCTCAGCGATAGCAGAGTTCTCATTTAGCACAAGTATACGCGTTTGTTTATTGTTCCATGGTAACTCTTCAACATTCGTTGTCTTAAGTATCTGATATATATATATATATATATATATATATATATATATATATATATATATATATATATATATATATATATATATTCTCTGTTAATATACTTCAAGTATTTAAAATATTCCTCATTATATCCATTTGATTAGCAAAAGAATCGAGGGTCAGCTGTTAAAATTCACAAATGTTGTCAAAGGTTATCAGTATCGTTGGTTTGTAATCGATCCAGATTCAGGAAGGATAGAATATTATGAGGTGATTGGATTATTTTGTTTTTATGTTATTATTATTATTTATTATTTATCGCTTGGGCTCCTAATGGAACATAGGGCTTTAATAGCACGTCTCTATTCCACTCTGTTCTTTGAAATCTTTTAAACCTGGCTCCACAACAACCCACAAGCTCTCATTTCTTCCTCGCACTATCTCCTCCATATCACCCTCACCTCGGACGACCAACTCGTCTCTTCCCATCGTGGTTCCACTCGAGCAACTCGCCTGACGCGTGATGTCCCTAGTCGGTCTCCTCAGTGTATGCCCAATCCATCTCCATTTTCTTCCAGTGCATATTTGTTGGGCGGTAGGTAATTGCTTCGTTGGTTTGTTCCCAGCTAAAGTTCCTTGTTGCTTATTCCTATCATTCTGGCCATCTGATCTCCATCATCAGTAACAAGTCAGCGTGTAGGCAGTTGTTGATGAATGTCTGTAGTTTGTTGGAAATCCCTTTCTTGACGCACCAAGTCTCTGAGCCATACAGAAGCATTGACTTGATGTTGGTGTTGAAAATCCGGATCTTGTTCACGCTTTATGCTGAGTGCAGTGCAGAAGATCTTCACACTGGTTTCAGGTTAATGAAGGCCTGTCTTGCTGTCTTTCCGATCTTGGCTGGTTTCGACGTTCTCGTCCATGCTGCCTGTAGTTGAAACTATACTGCCTAGATAGGTGAAAGAGACTACTTCCTTTAAGTTTCTCCCACTGATGGTGATTGAAGCTTGTTGTTGGTGGCGGTGGTGTTGATTGGGCATCCTCATCACCTCTGTCTTCTCTACGTTCACTTGAAGTCCCGTCTTCGCTGCCCTGCCCTGCCCTACCTCTTCTGTCAACTTGTTTCATTTCGACTGTAGATCTTCGAGTTTGTGTGACATCAGAAACAAGTCATCGGTGAAATCTAAATCTTCTAGGATCTTTTCCCCGGTCCGACGTATCCCCATCTTCTCGCTCCTCACTGTTGGTTGCATGATCCAGTCCAACACAACCAGTAAGATCATAGGTGATAGTAGGCGACAACGTTGTCTTACTCCTGTCTCTGTCTTCACTTTAAAAGCATCACTGAGCTTTCCATTGTGAATCACTCGACATATGATGCCTTGATATAGTTGTTGAATGAGGTTGATAAAGGTTTGTGTCACTAAAACCGTAGTGTTGAAACAGTTGCCTGCCAAATTACTTTTCGGTCGACGCTGTCGAAGGTCTTTTCAAAGTCGATGAAGTTGAGGTATAGGGTTGACTGCCATTCTATAGTCTGTTCTATGCTGATGCGAAGCATTGCAATTGGGTCCGCATATGATTAGTATTTCCTGAATCCAGTTTGTTCTGGTTGTAGTTTTGAATCCAGCACATCCTTTTTTTATGTTATACTTGGCAATAATGTTTAGTGATTACAACAAGAGTCTGTCGTCATGTCAATTGAATCTCTTCCTTCATTAAATTTTAAACAAATTTCTTCTACAATCGCAAGAAAGGTATTTCATGGATGCCTATGGAGTAGTTGTGCTTGTTACTAAACTCGATTTCAGTTTGTATAGTTCACCTTCACGGTTGATGATGATAACATGTGTAAGAAAAGAATCGTTTTCGTTCATAACTGTTGTAAGATAGAAATAACTTGTGTTGAATAGAGAAGAGAGCGATCTCCTAAGTGTTGTATCTCACTCACTGTTCATGTAGGTTCTGTAGCAAAATCGTGTAATAGTATTGGTCTAGTTCAGTTGGCTCCAGTCTCAAGATTACTGCCCTTCATATCGTCTAAACTACGTATCAAACGTAACATTTACATCTGGATCGTGATGAAATTCTGTAATGTCATCCATGATACCATCAACAAAGGGAGGAGTTATATTCGAAGTTGCATTTGATGGCTCAATAAAATGATCTTGAATTAGATAGGAACTTGATAATTTTTATTTAGTGATTAAAAAGGTAATCGAATTTTCCGAAATCTATTTTCAAACGCTTCGTTTTGACTGTTAGGATGTTTGGATATGGTTAACAAGGGATGCTTAACCTAAATACCGGATACCTGACGAGTGTTTAGTTCAGTCGATAAGTATGTTCTTTAATTCATACTTCCTAATGGGATGTTTGAAAATAGATGCCGTATAGCAGCAAAAGCCGTTTTACAACCAAAGTCCTATACCAAACCTATCTTCCGCCCAAAAAAACTGATGCCGTATGCTTCCCTACTACAAGTAAGAGCTTAACTCTCCCATCTCAAACAAGATGATGTGTTAGCACCCGTATCTTATTCTTCAAGTGTAGCCTGTATAGTACTTGTGGAGAAGCCGAACAGATCTCTTTGAATCTGCACTGATTTTTCCATGGTACTTAATGAAACTTTAGAACAACATGACTATTCACTACTTGCATCCAATGACATCTTCGCTATCTCCTGAACGATGGAACTTGTTCCACATAAATGTATCCAGCGGACTCTTATTTACAAGTGAAAGTCTAATGGGAATCCCGCAAGTTGTGAACCATAAACACCCATCGTGGGTTGTCCCAGCTTACCATATGGCATTAAAACGACACCCTTGGTCGTCCGGCAGTACATCGATACCTTTCCATCAAGAGTCACATATAAGACGTCCACTGGAATTGGATAGAGGAATGTACAGCCGCTTGTCAAAAATTAGAAATCATACGAACATCGAATCTTTTGCTGACTCACTGTGATCCTAATCTGCCTATCGTTGTTGCTGCTAATGTTTGCTTACAGAGTTTTTGCAGTCTTGAAACAAAAATATAGCTAAGTAGAGAAGGTTACGTAGGTGGATGCAGGAAGGCAACTACTTGAACTTATGCTTACGACGCTACCGAATTTCTCAAACGCTGTATTGTGTGCCCTGACGCCATACATGATCCACCATGAGTTCCTCCTGTTCCTTGACGATAACCAAGTGGGGAATGATTGCGTATATGTGTAGATTTCACGTGAACAAAACCGGGAAAATCTTCTTTGGTTTTGGTGGTTGAATACATAAAGTGGTCTGAAATCATGGTATTAGGCCAACGAACTGCTTCAAGAAGGCCTTAAGTTTTTTCAGCTATATTCTCCAGCCATGGTTAACAGTAGCCATAATCTCTGACCACGGGTAGCAGTTTACTTTTCAACAATCCGATGAATACTGTGTCAGTTATAGAATTGTTGACGTCCTGTCGCCATCCTAACACCTACTGTCTGGTGGACAGTTCGATCTCTTCGTAGATGTAAGAGAACTTTATTCATGATGAAAGATGAAGGGAACGCTGATGGACTACATTCGACAGTCATAACTTCTCATTAGAACTTCTAGAAGTCATGATCGGTGGGACAGACGAAATTGATGCGAGGAAAAATGCTCAACGATGGTATTGGATGAAAGTTGCGCCTTGCCGTAAATTGACATCATTAAGGAAATGTAAACCACTGGATTCCGACCAAGTGTCTCAATGATAACGTGCTGGTCATGGAACCTGAAGGCCCCGGATTCGATCCATGGCGGCACACTGCTGAGGAGTCCCTCATTAAGGCGAAACAAGTATCCAGCGCTTCCAGGTTTCTAATGGTTCTTCAGTTGATGTCAGTCCGTGATCAATAGCAACTTGAAGTCAATAAAATCTGTATATGTGGACGTTTGTGCACAGGAAGGAGGAGCATTCACAACATATGGTTGAAGGTGTGTGGGTATGTACCTAATCGGCTTTCAATCAAATGACCACAGCTGATTCGATAGGTGCAGGTGATAAATGTCCGGTGATAGGGTAGATATTAAAGCAGTCTTTACAGCATTTCTTGAAAGCACTCAGGGTTGAGTGCTTAGATTCATGGAAGCTTTGACCTTTCGTAAGTCCCCCCACCCCCCACCTTAAAGTGTAAACCAGAGTAATTTGTTCTCACTTTGAACCTACTTTGGTAGTATTGATTTTAATCATGCTGGTATTGAAGTCTCACCGTATTAGTCAGGCACCGATAATACCTACTGGAATCATCCTAAAATATATTGAAGTACCATGTTTCATAAAGTTACTTGAATGCCAAAATTCCCAGTAAATTATCAATTTGACTATCTGACATATATCTGGTATAATTTGGTAGACTTCTATTGATACTAAATGATGAGTAAAATATCAGTTAAATGAATGACAACGTTGACAGTGAGTTTCAGCATTGGAATGAAAACCATGAAACCCTCTGTTTATGTATTTCTAATAAGAAATATCAAATCTTAATTGTAATCTGTTCAATAAGCATATACACGAAAGTGTATATGAACCCCATACCTATTATATGATGACTGTTCATACCCTATGTAGGTGAAGAGAAGTATATGTAGTCCAGTACTCAGACCAATGGAGTCACCGTTCCACAGGTTGTGAAGAAGTAGATTTTGGAAACAGTTTAAAAATGTTGCTAAAATAAATATTATTCAGTGTAGAATATTTGTAGCCTAGGTGGATGGTCTTGGTTGTATTGTGTTGTCTAAGCTGGGTTGTTTAATTGTGAAGCTTTCATCGTCCTTCTAGACAACATCATCACCACTAACTTCAGTATGAAATGACCTGTCAATTTTTCTCTGTGAGTGGTTTAGTGGCTTGCTCCAACGACGCGGTCTGTGATTCGATGATCCCTTCGATTGTTGTTTCATTGACTGTATAGATTTTCCTGTTGGCTGTCCCTCTACTTGACCTCTGATCTTTCTGTCTTCTATCAGTTTTCTCATTGATTGATAGATTGGGTCTATGTCTACACATCTGTTGATTGCTGACTGACTGACTGATCTGAATGTCAAGCTTCTAGGAATTCTCTGATATTCTTTGTGTTCCCTCTCTCGGTTCAAAATTTCTACATTGTCGAAATTGAATTCATCTCCATAGTTGTTATCCACGTGCACTGAAATGAGTGATGAAATGTTTTGTGTGTCGTTTAATAGCCAATTGGTGCTCAAGTAGACGAAGGCGAAGAGGGCGACCATTTTGTCCAATGTAGTGTTGACTATAGTTATTGCAGTTGACTTTGTAAATCATATTCGGTTTGTCTTCTTTGGTTGTTGCATCCCTTTGCTCTGCACAATAGTGTTTGGAGGGAATTTGTTGGTTTATGAGCCACACCAATTCCACCAAGTGGTCTCAGTAATCTTGTCGTGATTGCTGATATATCCTTTATGTATGGTAGGATGATGCGTTTATTGATTTCTGTTGATGACTTTGTAGTTGATGATGTAGGGGATAGGCATCTTGTGATAAAGTTTCTTTCTGATGTCGTCTAGCAGGACGATGAAAGCTTCACGATTAAACAATCCAGCTCAGAGAACACAATACAATCAAGAGTGTGAAAGGTATTCCATACAGTATAATAACATTATCATCATAATATCAGCTTGAATATATCAAGTTAATAACTAACTTAGTAGTCTGAAGAGGATTTTATATTCGATCTATACAATATTACTACCGATGACTATAGTCACATTATTACTATTCTTCCTTTATTGCTTTATCTCAGAAGGAAGATCACAAGCGATCACTTAAACCACGTGGAGGATTAAATCTTATAGTAAGTGTCTATAAACTTTTATGATGAATACTATTGTCGTTTACTCAGAAATATTAACTTTTTCCTTCGAGTGTAAAGATTGTCTACAGTTGCTCCGAAGAAAAAAAAAACAGTAGTTGTTAAATAGAAATGTAAAACTTGGGCACTGTAATAGAATTACATTCCATATTAGACCTGTTCATTTGATTTATAACATACAGTTCGATACAGTATTATTTACTTGGTGAGGTTTCGAGCATAGATTATTACTGCTCATTATCATATCACAATTGAATCACACAACACTTTCCATATCTCACTTTCACTATCCTATTATATCTTATTCGTAATTACTACCAGTCAGCTAGTAAAATTTTACATATCTCTGATACAGGTGTTGCATCATTTCTGTTACATGTCTTCGGTGGGTGTTGATTCGATAAACAAAGATTCAGTAATCAATCTCACTCACTCACTCACTCACTCACTCACTCACTCACTCACTCTCTCTCTCTCTCTCTCCACCTAATTATATTCGACTTAAGCACAGTGGTTATATCTCAGCACCCTGCGTACTTGTGTGTTAATGCATGTATTCCACCACTAGCCGAGTACTTTTCGAGATTATTAATCTTATTGAGGTCTGTCATTCTATATTTAGCTAAATTCCCATGTTTCACTATTCCAACTGACACCAAACAACTAGTTCGACCGATGTACTTGACCTGATTGACTCACAGTCATAACATGCAATTTGATAGATTAAATTATTTTGCCTAATTAATTCTATCAGATCTTTAAGTCAGCTAGCAAAGCTTATCTATGAGTGAGTTTGTAGATTGAAATGTCACTGTAATTCTTGCTCTGTTGAGGGTCCTACGTAAAGTTTCTGATGTACCTTCGCTACATGACAATAGAAGAGAGGCTGTAACTCTGTTCTACTGGTATTGTCATTATTATTCGTACCCGTTTCTTAATAAACTGTAGAGGATAATTATTAACGCTACTTTTATGCCTTTCAACTCACTGTTCAAGTCTTTGCACTGACTGACTATTGAGTTCCCTAGCTCTACTATGTACAGACATTTGACTAAATCCACCTAAACTGACATTGGATGAGATGACTTGAAGTTTAGATACCTTTTAGAATATGTCGGAACCAACATCCAACACATGTAATAAGGATGACACAAGCAACACCTTCACCAGAGACACGGAGAACTTTACTACCATTCAAAACCAAAAAAATATGAGGTGAAAGGGCTACAAAAATTAGATGTGGAAAGCTGTCGGATTACACTGATATGATTATGAGTAGGAATTTATCCTCGACATATCACTAAACAAATGATACTGTATCCAACTATGTGTTGCATATCAGATACACAAGTCTAATATGGAAGTAGTTGCCGAAGATAACTTGCAGGATTTCCCAACATTACCATTTATGCATGTACTTGTAGTTCTCCGTTGTCTTATTGAATCCAATTATCCGACCTCTATTGACATATGGGCTCCTATGCTGATGCCTCGATATTGCCTGAACCTCAATTATAATAATTTGGTTGATTGTTGCCAGTTAAAGGAATCCAGAACACGCGTTTCGTCCTGTTTGGTGCTCGTTAGCTGGATGTACCTGCAACCCAGTGAATGATGTTGTTCTCACTAAAAGAGAGAGAGAGAGAGATTGATTGATTGACTACTGAATCTTTGTTTATCGTAAAATGTAGTACTTACGGTGTGGTTTTTGTTGTTAAGTGGAATGTATAAAATTCAGGTAATCACAAATGTTTATGAAGTTGATATCAATGACTGCTTATTGTTGTTTTCATTGTTGTTTTTTTTTCTTCACATTTCCACAGTATGCCTCTGTTTGTCCATCTGATGAAGATTCACAGACATTTGTCATTAACGCTGCAAATGGTGACTTGTTAAAACTGAAAGGTTTGTTTTTTTTGTTTCTGTATATCATTTATCCTCTTCATATGATTTTCTTTGAAAATTTACGAATTCAATAATATTACACATTATGTAATACATTAATGATTACATTATTACTATTCATGGCATATTAATTAGATTTCTTGACAGACCTTGAAACATATTCATAGATGTATGATGTATAGTCTGTTCACCGACACATAGACAATCAACGTAGAACTTCGTTCAATTTGCGCACACTTCACAGCAGCATTCAAAGTGCAAGTAAATAGAAAAAGAATGATAGAAGAATAGACGAAAGTGTATGGGAGTAGTACGAATTTAGAAATGATGAATTGAAGCTTCAGAAGACGTCAAATAATTAATACATCTGCGCCATTGTAACTGATTTCCAGCCATGTTGCCAACGATTGATTCCTATCGTCCCAGGGGCCTTAGCCAGGGAGTTTTACATGACTGGTAGCATCAGTCAGAGACTTCAGTATCTTAATTTGACTACCTTGAGACCCCTTCCAACCGAAACCAGCTTCTAATATTTTATATCAAGGTAGGTGACGGGTCGGCATATACGACAGATGTCGCAACCAAGTCGACGAAAGTTCACAACCTGTCTTCCGTAGTACCTTTCACTTAACTTCCACATTACTCACATGGTGATTCCACATTGTGTGATCAATACTACGAAGATACCTGTGTCCTGTTCATATCTGCTTTTAACGGCCATGTCTCACAGCTGTATAACAGAACAGATCGGACCGTTGCACGGTATACTCATCCTTTAAAATAGTTAGTTGAATATCTCACCAATTGGTGCCAGTTGCAGGTTGGCAAAATTTGCCAATCGACCCTTTTGTATCTGAGCTGAGATTTCATCAGTAACTAGCCTATTCCGGTTGGTGTAACTCCTTAAGTAAGTGAAGTAATTGACGTATTCAACCACTTCACTCTCCATCTTCAAAGTAGAGGTGATTGTAGACCAGTCCTTTAGCATCATCTTATATTTGATAGGTGCGAAACACATGCTGAACATACTCAAATTTCTGCTTAAGAAGTTTAAAAGATGCTGTGTTTTGTCAGCATCTTCACTTAGTAGGACGATATCACCAATTAATTGATTCACAATCTTATACTGAGTTATCACATTGGATATCGTTGCGACCAAGTGGAATTACAGGCGTAGGTATAATGATACTGAGACTCAAATAGACACCTCAATCGAATACTGTTACGACTAACTTCCCTCACTTCCTTCTGCTTCACTGAGTCACGAAAATTTGAAGACAAAACACTGGCCCGTAATTGTAAGAACAACAGCAACTTTGTTAGACAAACACATGGTATGTATATAAATCCACAAAACCCTCAGAAAATGAAGCCGTAAATGAACCAATCCGATTTGTTATATGATGTCGAATTTGTCCAATCAGGTTATCATGTTAGTGCATGCATAAATCATGATCTGAAAACAATTGGCTGCTTTTTTTGCCGCTACCTATCAGATATTTTCAGTGTGAATTTTCTCAGTTATATTACGCCGTTGATGATAAAGTCAAAAAGTCACAGTCGCACATTTTTCGAAAGAAGTATTGATAGCCAATTCATTTTTAAGCGTCTCTTTATTGTTTCTTTGTAATAGTTTCCATTTATCATATTTAAAACAATTGGTTCCCTTGATAAACTTCGACAAAACAATAAGAAGACGTAAATTGTCTGAACCGTGTAATGTATTTGCGCAACACATTTCGAACTATCTGATCACACACGTACTTGTCATAGGTATTTATATAAAAAGAGAGGAAAATGACTGCTTGCCGTTCCTAGATATATTAATTAGTCGAAGGCAGGATGGATCCATAAAACGATCTATCTACAGAAAACCCACATGGACAGGGCAATATCTGAATTACCATAGCTTTTGCCCAGTTCAGTACAAGCGAACGTTAGTAAGGTGCTTATTCAGCAGAATTCAACGAATATGCACCGAGGATACTTTAGAAGATGAAAGAAGAACACTGACCGATATTTTGTTGGAAAATAACTATCCATCAACATTTATCAGGCAGAACAAAATCAGCAGAGCGTCAAAACTAGAACTGCAGTCAGTCCCAGAGAAGGATGTCTTCATCAGCCTTCCGTACAAAGGTGACTCTCAGAGTGCAATCCTTAAGCAGAGACTCAACGCTGCTGTTAGAAGGACTTATTATGCAGCCAGGGTTCGAGTAATCGAAACCACGAAGCCCTTATATTCCCCCAAACCCCCACAGCATGTGAACGATAATGTCACATCCCATTGTATCTACCAATTCAAATGTACGTGTGGTGACACATACATAGGGAGGACTAATAGATCCATGCAAGTAAGGGCCTCGGAACATATTCCAAAGTGGCTTCAGAAGCAAATCAAATCACCTGAACCTATAAATGTTGGTAGCAAACGTCCAAGCTCTTCGATCGCTAAACATATCGTTGAGACAGGTCACAAGATTGATGTGGCTACTTCCTTTACACCTATTTACAAAACATGTTGAGGAGAGATCCTGAAATTTGTTGAAGCCTTAGCTATTAGGAAGTTTAAACCACCTTTATGTATTCATAAACAATTTGTTGTCACATTAAACCTTCCTTGGTAAATTCAACTATTGAAAAACCAAGTTCGATGTACTATTATTTTTTCGCCCTATTGATTTTCATTGTTATTCGGCCTTTAAGTCAGCCTTCCTACCTGACCCTTTTTTTTTCTCACCCCTTATCTTCATGAGTTTTTATATAAATACCTATGACAAGTACGTGTGTGATCAGATAGTTCGAAATGTGTTGCGCAAATACATTACACGGTTCAGACAATTTACGTCTTCTTATTGTTTTGTCGAAGTTTATCATATTTAAATTGTGACCTACGTGCCAATAAGACAATCATTGCTATACGAATTACTTACAGGTTGGTAACTGATGTATCTATCATGTTCTCATGTTTATCAACTTGACTATCTGGGATAGCTATGGTTTGCCTAACATGAATCCCTGCAGGATTAGAACCCGGATATCGCTGGTCCGAATCATCTTCTGTCATCACCCAGTGTCAATCGAATATAGATTCTGGCCAGTATAATTTCAGTGTTATTTGATGTCAGATGTTACGAGTCAACCGGTAGAGTTGTATTGCTCCTGAAACTTTGAGAAAATTTCTGCTTCCTTGTTTTATTGAGATAACAGTTTCAGATAGATGAAAATAGTAGAGTCTTACAAACTAGTTCATAAGATCAAACTGCCATTGTACACTGAAATAGACAATATAACCAAGTGGTAATTTACTTGGTTGTGGCTAGCAGAAGAACTCAAGACGTACGTTTCGTTCTGTTTGGGACTCTTCAGCTGGATTTACCTGCACCCCCTCACCGAGATTTCAACCAGGTACCCACAGCTTCAAACTCCATAGCCTTATCCCCTAGGCTGCTGAGATACGATATTCACCTCTTGCACAACGGATATTAGTTATTAATATTTATGCATATCCTTGTAATTCTCCGTTGTTTCACTAGATAAAATTGTTCGACCTCTGTTGGCCTATGAGCTTCTATACGGATGCCTTGACATTGCTTGAATGTTAATTATGGTAATTTACTTTACAGAGAATTACAAGCATATACGTAAATAGTAAAAACTAATACCCGTTGTACAAGTGGTGACTATCAGATCTCAGTGGCTTAGTGGATAACGCTTTGGCGTTTGAAGCAATGGGCACGAGATCCCAGTCTCGATGGAAACAATATGACTCACTGGGGTAGAGGTAAATCCAGATCAAGAGTCATAAATAGGACGAAACGCGCGTCCTGGGTTTTTTTTTCCTAGCCAGAACCAAGTAAATTATCATAATTAACATTCAGGTAATATCGAGGCATCTGTATAGGAGCCCATTTGCCAATAGAAGTCGAACAATTCGAACCAGTAAAACAACTGAGAATTACAAGCATATGCATATGTAGTAATGCAACTAAATGTTGTAACAAGTAATGTTTAAGCACACGCACATTCAGTAACCTTATGCACATTCATACAGTTAGCAGTAAGCGATATCTATTGTATGAAAACTTCCTGGTTGCCCAAACCTCTATAGGTGGAGCGTTGTTCAAACTCGCAATCGATCAATTGAATATCTAGTCCTTAGACCAATGAGTCATAGCTTCGCACAGACATATGTTCGACTTTCATACACCAGTATAGGAAATATTAAATATCATTGGATTAAATAATACTATGTCACTGTTGTTTGGAGTTAACAAACAGTATCTGCAAACTTGAGTTAACCAATTTGGCTCATCATGGTAACCCATTTCACAGTATAGAAGAGTGAAACTTGTGCACTGTGGTAGAATGTCATTCCATTTTTATTGATTTATTAAATTTATCACACAGTGAAAGAACAGTATTATTTACTGGATTACATTTCGCACATAATTTATTGTCCTTTATATAATCCTAATTTCCTCGTCTCTTTGTCAGGTGGGTAGTAAGATTCTTCATATATCCAGGTGTACCCAGGTACTGAGTCATTCCTGTCGCTGTATGAATGAGGTGTTGATTCGATAAACAAAGATTCAGTTATCGATCTCTCCCTCCCTCCACCCTGTTATATGTTAGTTGTAAGGATTTTCACCCTTTATCATCCTATTGTGTGGTTGTGTGTAATCTCATGCATAGCTATGGGGCTGAATTTTTTTCTAAATTCCTTACTTACCTTACTAGGATCTACCAATTTTGACCCAGCTAAGTTTTTGTGTTCCCATAGCCTAATTGACCCTTGTCGACTACTTTGACCTGCGTATTTGACCTGGTAATCGTTGCAAGGGATTTGTTAAACTAAGTTATTCTGCTTAATTGGGTCAATAGGATGGTTTAACCTACAGAGCTATATGGTTCAGAAACTTGGCGCGTCACGAAAAGCACGTCCAACAAACTACACACATTCATCAACAGCTGCCGCCTACGCTCGCTCACTCGATACTGAAGATGAGATCAGATGGCCAGAATAATAAGAATAAGCAGGGAGGAAGTGTGGCTGCTGGGAACGAACCAACGGAGCAAGAACCGATCGCTCAACAAATATGCAGTGGAAGGAAGTGTAGATGAATTTGATTGGGCATACACTGAGAAGACCGACTGGGGACATCACGTGCCAAGCCCTCGAGTGGAACCCAGATGGGAAACGGTGAGCTAGGTGTCCGAGCTGAGGATGACATGGAGGAGATGGTGTGAGGAAGAAATGAGATTTTGTGGGCAGTCGTGGTGCCAGGTTGAAAAGATTGCAGAGAACAGAGTGAAATGAAGGCGTGCTACTGAATCTCTATGTCCAACTAGGGACCCAAGGGAAAAACAATAATAATAATTGTAGGCATAAATGCCAATCTAATCCCAGTCAGCCTTGTTGAGAATTCTACGTAGTGTTTCTGAGGCGTCTTCTTTGTATGGTAATACTGTAGAGGTTTTAAATTCTCTGTTCACAGTATTGCCACCACTATTATTATCAATATTATCAACACTATTATTGTTACTGTTATTACCACTGTTATTACTACTATTAATACCTGTGTTTTTGAAATTTTCTTACAACTCCTAAGGAGCTCACCAATTAATTTGGTAGGGTAATTGTTGATGATTAAGGCCTTCATCATCAAATCGTCTCACTCTGTGTCAGTTAAAGTTGGCTCAGTAAAGTGTCTAAGTAGTAGGGCCAAAAAGCTTACTAGAAAAACAGAAGATCTAAGACAAGGAACCAGATACAATAAGGACACCCTACTCATCAGAACTTACCCTCCGAATTCATTTGATAAGTTCCTTAGAAATCGTAAAAGAATATCAGTAACACACGTATTAATAATAGTAATAATAGCGGTAATAATGGCAACAATAATAGTGTTGATGATGATGTTGATAATAGTAGTGGCAATACTGTGAATAGAGAATTCAAAACCTCTACAGGATTACCATACAAAGAAGGCACTCGGAAACACCACGTAGAATTCTCAACAAGGCTGACTGGGATTCGAGTGGCATTTAAACCTACAAACTCACTTCGAAATAAGCTGTGTAGATTAAAACATGCTGTTGACCCAGTTAAGCAGAATAACTTAGTTTACCAACGATTACCAGGTCAAATACATAGGTCAACGTAGTCGACAAGAGTCAGTTAGGCTATCTGAACACAAAAATCTAGCTAGGTCCAAAATCGATAGATCCTAGTAAGGTAAGTAAGGAATTTAGAAAAAAGCTTAGCCCTATAGCTATGCATGAGATTACACACAACCACACAATAGGATGATAGAGGGTGAAAATCCTTACAACTGACATAACAGGGTGGAGGGAGGGAGAGATTGATAACTGAATCCTTGTGTATCGAATCAACACCTCATGCAAACAGCGACAGGAATGACTCAGTACCTGTTCTGGATATACGAAAATCCTCCTATCCATCTCACAAAGTGGCGAGGAAATTAGGATTATATAAAGGATAATAAATTATGTGCGAAATGTAATCCAGTAAATAATACTGTTCTTTCACTGTGTGATAAATCTAATAAATCAATAAATATACAACTATTCTACAGAATTTTTAGAAAATTGACGATTTTAGTTTTCTATAAATCAATTTTCTTTTTGTGTAAGTACCTAGTTTAGATTGAATGAATAATTTTACAGTTTCATTCACCTTAAATTTTGTTATTATTCCAATGGTATCTTTTATATGAATATAATTAACTTACTGTTAGCAATCGATGCTAAAGAAAGGCAACATTGGGTTGATCGTCTTCGAGCAGTTGCTGAATATCATTCAGATAAAGCTGAACAAAATCCATTGGTGAGTAAATTTTGTGTAAACATGAGTAATAATTAAAGTGGTTATACTTTCGATTTATTAAATCCTATATTTACTTGTTTATTTTGTTTCGTATACATACATCTCTGATTGTTTCATGCCATGTTTTTCAATTACAAGGTTTCGTTTGTTCGAAGAGTGTTGAGAGTATTAGTTTAAACACTGAACTTTAAACCGATGGGCCACAGATTTGGACCTCACTTCACTTGCCAAGATCTGGACAGCCATATGACCTAAGTCTTTACAAGAACTGGCCAGAATCATGCTACTGTCCACCCCAAGCAAACTATTAAGCCGCATCATCCTGGAGAGACTAAACAATGCCCTGGATTCAAAACTACAACAGAACATGCTGGACTCAGGAAGTACATATCATGTGCGGAACAAATTGCAATGCTTCGCATCAACATAGTACAGACTATAAAATGGCAGTCAACCCTATACCTCAACTTCATCGACTTTGAAAAGACCTTTGACAGCGTCGACCGAAAAGTGTTTTGTCAGGCAACTGTTTCAACACTACGGTTTTAGTGACACAAACCTTTATCAACCTCATTCAACAACTATATCAAGGCACCATATGTCGAGTGATTCACAATGGAAAGCTCAGTGATGCTTTTAAAGTGAAGACAGAGACAGGAGTAAGACAACGTTGTCGCCTACTATCACCTATGATCTTACTGGTTGTGTTGGACTGGATCATGCAACCAACAGTGAGGAGCGAGAAGATGGGGATACGCCGGACCGGGGAAAAGATCCTAGAAGATTTAGATTTCACCGATGACTTGTTTCTGATGTCACACAAACTCGAAGATCTACAGTCGAATTGCAACAAGTTGACAGAAGAGGTAGGGCAGGGCAGGGCAGGGCAGCGAAGATGGGACTTCAAGTGAACGTAGAGAAGACAGAGGTGATGAGGATGCCCAATCAACACCACCGCCACCAACAACAAGTTTCAATCACCATCAGTGGGAGAAACTGAAAGGAAGTAGCCTCTCTCACTTATGTAGGCAGTATAGTTTCAACTACAGGCAGCATGGACGAGAACGTCGAAACCAGCGAAGATCGGAAAGACAGCAAGACAGGCCTTCATTAACCTGAAACCAGTGTGAAGATCTTCTGCACTGCACTCAGCATAAAGCGTGAACAAGATCCGGATTTTCAACACCAACATCAAGTCAATGCTTCTGTATGGCTCAGAGACTTGGTGCGTCAAGAAAGGGATTTCCAACAAACTACAGACATTCATCAACAACTGCCTACACGCTGACTCGTTACTGAAGATGGAGATCAGATGGCCAGAATGATAGGAATAAGCAACAAGGAACTTTAGCTGGGAACGAACCAACGAAGCAATTACCTACCGCCCAACAAATATGCACTGGAAGAAAATGGAGATGGATTGGGCATACACTGAGGAGACCGACTAGGGACATCACGCGTCAGGCGAGTTGCTCGAGTGGAACCACGATGGGAAGAGACGAGTTGGTCGTCCGAGGTGAGGTTGACATGGAGGAGATGGTGCGAGGAAGAAATGAGAGCTTGTGGGTTGTTGTGGAACCAGGTTTAAAAGATTTCAAAGAACAGAGTGGAATAGAGACGTGCTATTAAAGCCCTATGTTCCATTAGGAACCCAAGGGACAAATAGTAATACTAATATGTGGCATCAGATATTAGTTGTAGGTTAATAGTCTACTGTAAGAAACTGCACATAGTTCCGAGAGGATTTCAATTTTTTTGTTTTTAGAGCATCCTAAAATATCTTATGGTATCATGGATGCATGCAAGTGTCTAGAAAAAGACTGTGAATATCTTATCGTTACCGTCAACATATAATTTAAGCTTGTCAGTTTCGGGTTCTACTAAGAAGCTATATCGCCAGGACATGTATGCTTTAAGATAGATGAAGAGTGTGCCGTTTTGGTTGCTGATCTTTTATAACCCTTCCATCTTCCCATAAAAAAGGCAGCATCAGCGTGACACTGCAGAAAAGTACCTTATGCTGTCATTTCCCCGTCCAACCAGCGATATGACTTCGCCTCGGACCCCAACCATAGCGTAGCAATTTACACTACAACGGTAACTTTTTTAATTATCTAACCACTTCGCAACAGACCTTTCTTTTAAAGGCTTATTGTCATGATATGTCTGATGTAATTTTAGCAGCGCAGTAACACTGTCTCCCTGGTGATTAGACTAAAAATTTGGAAGGATGCCCTTGCTATCAATAAAAATGATTATTTGTAAAGTACTCTCGAATATAATTCTAAGTACCAATATTTGTCAGCGTAGTTCCAGCATATATTTGTTTGAATCATCACCAGTCGTAAAATTTTATACTGAAGTTGATCAACAAATCGCTGAAGGATCAGAAAGATTGGTATGGTATTATGGCTTATTGATTTAGGGAAATGACTTTCAACCGATAGGTCACGAGTTGGAGTCCTGCTCCACATACTGAAGTTTGAACAGTTCTATCGTGTCGTCACTAGCCCTCACACAATAGATGTGATTGATTGCCTACTGTATGAGGTTGATGAGTGAATTTCTTTTTTATTTCTACAAAAGTTGTTTATATCGGTGTAGCGCATAAACTTCCAAATGATACTCCAAGCTATACTATACACACCAATGATTCTATAGCCATGGACAAAACGAGTATCATTCACACGATCAACTGTGATCAACTCTGCATGTTCTATACTATACACATCAATGATTCTATAGCGATGGACAAAACGAGTATCATTTACACGATCAACTGTGATCAACTCTGCATGTTTATTTGCCTAAGCATGTGATCAGTAATCGATCCTCATCACATATCACCCTTTAGACCATTGTGTATGGGAAACTCTGAACATCCATTCGAAGTTGGAAATGCAGATATCTGGGATATAGAAAGCTCACTGGAATGTTAGAAGTTTAACGTATTTCTGTTCGATGGATGTTTTATTATTGAGCAAAATGGGTATTATTCACGAAAAAATTAAACGGAATGTCAGCGACCTTCTAGACCGACTTTTATAAATTATTTGTAAGAGGACTAGTTCGAATCCAGGATGCGCATTTCGTCGTATTTGGGACTCGTCAGCTAGACGTATCTGCCTCCCGTTAAGTGTTGTTGCTCTAATTATAGTAAAGGTGGATATAATATGAAAACAATTATACTAAAACTATACCCGTCGCACAAGAAGTGACTATTGTGGTTCAGTGGTGTGATGGGTAACGCTCTAGCGTTTGAAGCATTCGGTCCCTAGTTCGAACCCCGGTGGGAAAAATATCACTCATTGGAAGGTAGGTACATCCAGCGGACGAGTCACAAATAGGACGAAATGCGCATCCTGGATCCCACTGCTAGCCACTATCCATCATTAATATAATTTGCATGGATCTATCAGCCCTCCCTATGTATGTGTCACCACATGTATATTTGAATTGGTAGATTCAGTGGGATGTGACGTTGTCATTCCCATGCTGTAAGGATTTAAGAGAATATATAGGCTTGGTGGTTTCTATTAATCGTACCCTAGCTGCATAGTCTCTGCTTAAGGATTGCGCTATGAGAGTCACTTTTGTACGGAAGACTGATAAAGACATCTTCTGGTGGATAAAGTGAAGATCTGGTTTTGGCGCTGTGATTATTTTATGCTGTCTAATAAATTTTGATAGACAGTTATTCTCCAACAGTATTTCCGTTGATGTTCCTCTTTCTTCTTCCAAACTATCATCTATGCATATTCGTTGAATTCTACTGAATAACCATTTAACTAATGTTCGCTTGTACTGTACTGGACAAAAGCTATAGTACTTCAAATACTACCCTTTCCATGGAGGCTTTCTGAAGATAGATTGTTTTATGAGTTCATGCTGCTACCGACTAGTTAATATGTCCAATAAAGGCAAGCAATCATCGTCCTCTTCTACACATGTTAAGGATATGCTGCTCTGCACCTCATTCAATCAGTTTAAAATAGAAGTGAACAGACTTTATCTGTCAAATAATAAGGGTATATCTTGGACATATGTTTGATATAGATGGGCATAGTCAATTAGCTTCTCGGCTAAGTTTTCCATGTGCAACATAAATATGTCAGCTGTGGGGAGGCCAATGAGAACGTCATCAGCCTGATTGAATTGTTAACCCTGGGATGTAAACTTAATATCGTTTGTACATAAAACGTAGTAGCTCTCTTAAGTGATCCAAAGAAATGGATATTGAAAAATTATGCACAGAAATATAATCACATGCGTTATCAATTGTCTTGATCAAATGGACATTCATGAATAATGAATTAATGTTGAATGAGCACATAAATTCACTTTTTATGTTGCCATCATTAAAGCATTTGATGATTACTTCAAATATATCCTTTAAGGAATACTTATAGAATTCATTCCTAATTGGGATCCTGTAATTTCACTAGCCACTAGGCAAGGTTATGTGTTGACGCTTTGTACTTTGAAATTAAGGGGTGTTGGTTTCGAGCTAAACGTAAAGATATCGTGATCGCGATTCAGTCAATTTGAGTAAATCAAACTTTTGTCTAGTGATAATGATTGGGTCAACGTCACCTAATTACACAGACGTTGACCCAATCACAGGTGAATTTTCCTTAGATCTAGAATATGCAGATGACATAGTCCTGTTAGGTGAAGACGCTGACAAGATGCAGAGTCTTCTGAACACTTTGAGTGGGAATTTGAGAATGTTTGGGATGCGATTTTCACCACCCAAATGCAAATTTTTGCTCCAGGACTGGTCTTCAGCGGTACCGCGGTTAACAATAGAGAGTGAAGTGGTTGAGTGTGTTGACCACTTCACTTACCTGGGAAGTAGGATCAACCCTGGTGGGTTAGTTGGCGATGAGATCTCTGCACGGATACATAAGGCTCGATTGGCTTTTGCCAATTTGTGCCACCTATGGCGCCGCCGTGATATTCGTTTGTCTATTAAGGGTCGCATGTACTGCATGAGCACA